TCTGTTACCGTCACAGCAGGTGGCCTGGTGACATGCAGGTGGCATGGTGCTGGGGATGGAGCTGAGAGGGCTACATCTTGATCTTCAAGCAGCAGAAGCAACTGTGTGTGGCACTGAGGGAAGCTTGAGCAGAGACCTCAAAGCCCACCCACATAGTGACACACTTCCTCCAAAAAGGCCACACCACTTCAACAAAGCCACATCTCCTAACAGTGTCACTCCCTTTGGGGACCATTTTCCTTCAAACCACCACACTGGTCTCAATTACTATAACATATATGGGGCTGGCAAAGAGATGAAAATGATGTCTACTGGTGACCTAGAAGAGCCAGGAGACATCAGTCACAAGAAACAAATAAAAGGGATTGCATCAAGACAGCTTTATCGAGGAAGGAAGACTAAATCGAGCCATTGACAGCTGGAAAGGCAGCCAGGTGATGAAGATTTCTGCTTTGTGTTTGTGTTTTTGAGAATATCCCTAGGCTGATCTGTGGGTCTTGAACTCACAGAAATCTTCCTGAATCAGTTTCTAGAGTGCTGGGATTACAGAGATGAGTTACTATATGCGGCCTCCTTCCCACCCTTTCATTCTCCCTTCTTTCCTCCCTCCCTCCCTCCCCCACCCCACCCCTCTCATCTGTCCATCTTGTCTTCTGAAATCTTAAAGGGTAAGAGTCAAGTGTCAATGAAGGTTTACATTTACTTTAAAATGTCAGTAAGACCAATCGGTTTCAACACCTCATAGAAAGACAGCAAGGCAAACAGGCTGGGAACAGGACAGAACGGCGGGGGGTGGGGGTGAAGACAGAAACTGTTGAAAGGTTGCATTTTGATGTAAGAGAAGTAAGAGAGGAAGAAGAACCAACACTGATTCATGGCAAGAAAGACTAGTGACTAGCAGTCATGAAACTGACAGCTCACAGTAACTGAGAGCAAGCTCTGGGGAGCAGGAGGGATGTGGCTCCTGCTCTCCCCTTTGATTCGTCACTGCAAATTGTGTTTGGTCCTAATCCATTTAGAAACTCAACATCATGTATTTCAGTTTCCATCCTGATAGAGTTAGCTTCTGGAAACAGTACTCTAGCCACTGCACTCAACAGTTTCCTTTCCTTGCCTCTGAATGTGTGCAGAAGTCTCTCCGGGAACTTCCTCTTCATTTTGATGTTCAAACTTCTGAAGAAGTCTGGGGCCCAGCAGACCAATCAGTAGGCTTCCTATTGGTGCTGTGATGAGGATGGCCAAGAAGGCCACCGTCAACACATCCAACCCATAGGCTTCTAACTGCTTCTCTCCATGGACTCGCGCCGTGTCCAGGGCCACAGACCCAATGGCAGCCTATGAAAGTTTTAGCACAAGGTTAGAAATGTAAGACAAGCACACATTTTTTAAAAGTGACACAGTTGATCATTTAAGCAAACAAGTGGTTCTTCCCTTTGCTCTACTAATTCAAATTAGTCTTCGTTCAAAGTGTACTGAAGTTGGTTGGATTTATCTACAAAGTCTCCTTGCCCTTCCATGAAGAGTAACACTTCCTTATATGGTAGGTACACAAGGGTCGTGTACTATCAGCTCCGGACATTTCAAAATATTAGGGGAAAATAGACCTGCAGTATTAATAAAGTATCATTCATTTTACATGATCAATTTTATTTTAGAAAAGATGGGAATTACTGTTTGTTTTATATTTTAACTTGAAGAATTTGTATTAGTAAAGAAAATGCTGGCCATGTCTTAGACTTTGGGCTAAGATCAAGTCAGGTACCTGTTCTTATCACCTTAATAAATAAAAAGCTTAAAGGAGTGGTTATATTTATTAGAGGTGGGTGAAATTTTAAAACAGTATGTTTTCTCTGAAGCATATACTAATTCTCAATGGTATGAAACATGGGAGTGGTAAGGACCTTCAGAATGGTGCTAAATTTATCAGTTATTTGGTGCATTCTTTGCCCCAAAAGCCAGCAAAGTATTTTATTTAATATATCTCTATTGGAATCTATTATGAAAATTCTCATTTTCTCTTAGAGCAAAATGCAATATGATTAGTTCACACAGGAAAAGGTGCACCAACCCATCTGGCTAACTCCGTATACCAAAGAGCAGAGCAATGTTTTCATCTAAGACAACAGAACAAGAGAGAGCCAGTGACACAAGGACGGAATCAAGTGCCCATATGTACCCGAATGTTCTTTGTTCTGCCGTCCCAGAACGCCTGGGTTTCAGTGGGTCACACTGCTGACAAAACAGACCTTATGTTTCTAGTCTCTTTTGCAACTAGATAAACTGTGCATCTATGTTCTGACCACTGAGTGGACATGAGACACGGACATGGACTATTACCCAAAACAAAATGAACACATGTAGCTGCCCCTCCCCACTGGAAGAAAATGTCAGCAAAGGGTTGAACTTCCACCAACTTAGATGAGTCTTCTTATTCAATATCTTAAGGTGTCATACAGAAGTAACAGTTAAAATGATATGCCTTTCTACAATCGTTACCTACCTGGACTGTGGCCTTTGGAAGCCATGCAAAAGAAATAAAAATCTTTTCTTTTATGTTAAAACCAGCAAAACACACCATCAGGAATGTAGTCAAAATTCGTATCAATACGGCAATGCCGAGGGTTGTAACACAAAGACCTGAAAAAAATATTCAGGTTTTAGAAAAAAATGAGATGTTGGTTAAAACTACCTTTCAAAATACTATCAATAGGAATATGTTAAAACACTAAATACAAAAATAGTTGCATATAATTGATCAAGAAATCAATAAGATCAATTATATAGATTATAAATATATATAATTTATTCATTAAAGTAGATGTGTCTTCTCCACAGAATATAAGACTAGACTTATTAGTCAAGATACTTGTCAACTAGTTTGGAAGGAAGGATCCAAGCAGACTGCTAGAGACTGCAGCTCAGCAAGGAGAAAGTTCTTTCTCAAGATCAGGGTGTGTACACATAAGAGGCTGTGCTGCAAACCTGCAGTGTGGTTCTTGACAGAAGGAGCACGGCCTTCTGTTGGACAGCAGTTCCCTGATTGGCAGACTTTCCCAAGCCTCTGTGGCCTAAAGCACAAGATACAAACAAGCTGATTTGGACTGGTTAGAGGTGACCAAAGACTGGGTTTAGCTCAGCAATCGTGATGACCACCATTGACTGTGTGGTGGAGTAGAAGCTTGAAGGACAGGTACTGAGAAAGGGGATGGAGCGGGTGTGGATGGCTCGAAGGCTGTCACTGGGTTTGAGAAGTTCAGCAGTGGGAAGAGGAGGTGGTATGGCAGGTAAGAGGAGGGTAAGTGGAATGGAGAGAGCATCTATCTATCTGTCTGTACTTTCCAGTATATTTTAATTTTAATAATGTTAATAACACGTACCACCCATTTAAAAATCCATCTATCTGTCTGTGGGTGCCACAATGTGAATTTAGAGGTCAGACATGTAGAAGACAATCTCGTGGAGTTGGTTCTTGTTGTTATGGTAAAAATAAAATGCTGTGGTTCCCTGAGGGGTGCAATGGCAGAAATGCTGCAGGTCCCCGAGTGGCAGCAGTAGGTGGTGGGCCATGGGACCATGGATGAAGGCAGCTGGTCCCAGGCAGAGAACCTTGGGGTGGGTGAGAGACAGAGACCTATTAGGCACACCATGCAGAGAAGGTGGGTATTAATTTAGTGGGTTATGGAGGGGAAAGGGAAAGGGGGAAAGGGGAGAAGGGAGAAGAGCAGAGAGAGAGAGAGAGAGAGAGAGAGAGAAAGAAGAGAGAGAGATGGAAAGGAAGGGAAACTCAGGCTAGAAGCAGAAGGAAGATCTGCTTGCCTCAGCAGATGGGGGAGGGAGCAGGCAGGGCTTGTCTCTTAAAGGGACAGGACAGACCATAATACTTGCCTTCTACCTTTATGTAGATTCTCGGTTCAAACTCAGGTGTCCTGGTTTGTGTAGCCATTGCCTTTAACTGCTGTGTTATCTCAGGCATCCTCTGTGTTTACCACTTTGAAGTGTGGGGTCAGTAGCCTTAAGTATGTCCACACTACTGTGGGACCAAACTCCAGAACACTTCTTTTTGCAAAATTTAAATTGCATACCATTGAACAGCAATTTCCTATTTCCCTCAGCCCCCAGCCCTGGAAACCATAGTTTTACTTTATGCCATCTTTACTGTGCCTAGTTTCTAGTTACATATTGCTCATATAAGTGGAGAGCATTGGCATTTGTATGGCTATCTTATCTCACTTAGCATAATGTCATTAAACTTCACCTATGTCTGGTATTCATCAGAAAGAAAGGATATCTTTTTAAGCAGTGTACCATCAGAAACTTCTCAAGAGAAGGAAACTGTGGACGGCATATTAACCGATTTCAAAGAGGACTAGAGGGATGGTGTAAAAGCGCTAGTCCCTCAAGGCTGATGTCCCAAGTTCAGCAAGAAAATTTGCTTTAAAAGCCGGCTACCGTGGCATGCATCTGTTATGCCTGCACTTCTCAGGTAAGATAGGAGGTGGAGACGCTTTTGGTCGAGGAGTTTTCAGGCCTGCTCGCCTGGGACAGCAGCAGCAGCAGCAGCAGCAGCAGCAGCAGCAGCAGCAGCAGCAGCAGCAGCAACAACATGAAGGACTGACTGCTCTAACAAGGTGGAAAGCGAGAACTGGATCCTGAACCCCTACATGCGCTCCTTGGTGGTGGGTGCACATGCATTCACACACAGACACTACATCTATCTATACAGACACATTTCCTTTTTAAGATGAGTAAGAATAAGGGGAAATATTTGGGATTCATGGCTGAAAGCAAGGAATAGGATCCTTGGTTTGGTATGTAAGGAGAGGGAATATTTACAAATTAACTAATTATTGCAAGCGCTGTCAATCCAGACAGTCTTAATGTGATGCTGTCCGAATGTAGAATAAAGAGCGAATAACAGCATCTCCAATCCATGAGAACACATTATGGAATTAGCTGGTACCTTTCAAATTCTAGCTCTTGACCAGAACTGGGCTAGATGAACCAGTTATATTGGGGAGGAGTAGGCCTGATTTTTCACTCAGAGTAACAAGCATTATTCTCTAGCCAACTTCTCTAAAGATCATAGCTAATTCTTTCTACAGTCATAACAATGGTAAAAAAGCACCCACTGAAGGTATTCCAAACCAGGATTTAAAGATTTAGCACAAGAACCATTGAGAAGGTCTTACCAACGGTTTCTGGTCTGAGAGATGCAATAGATACCTCGGCTCCGATCAGGCCGAACAGAAGGGGCTGGAAAATGTCCCAGGTAACTGAAATGATCTTTTCTACCTCCGACTAAAAGAGAAGCAAAGAAAACTTTGTTATGCAGAGTTATAAATGCCCAAAATTAAATTGTTCGATTATTTGGGATAGGAATGTGAGATCTACAAGTAAGAAATCAGAGGCATCAATAGAGCCCCGGAGTTCTGTGGCCACGCAGCAACCTAGCCAAATGTAGCCAATCAAGTTAAATGGATGAACTCCAAGTTCTGTAAGATAGGAAGATTGGGAGTTCAAGACTAGCCTTAATTACACAGTAAATTTGAGACCAGGATGTGATATGCTACCCTGTGCCAAAAAAAAAAAAAAAAGACTAGTAATTTTAGGTTGTTCAAGGTTACATAGTTAAGGAAAGTATGCAAATATAATTCACACAAACAATGCCGCTGACAGAGGAAGAGGTCATGAGTTTTCTCTGTGATATTATTTCTATTAAATTTGAGGTTTAGCGTCTTATGTGTGTGAGTGTTTGGCCTGCATACATGTATGTGCCCCTGTAGAGATCAGAATGGGGTCAGATCCCCTGGAGCTGGAGATCCAGAGTTGTGAGCTGGGAATGAAACCCGGGCCCTCTGTAAGAGGCACGAGTGCTCCTAACAGTTGAGTGACCTCATAAAAGCCAGAACTGGCGAGATGGCTCAGAGAGTAAGGACCACTTGCCACCCAGCTTGAAGGCCTGAGTTTGATGCCTGGGGCTCACGTGGTGAGAGGAAGGAACGGACTACAGCAAGGTCACACACCTAGTAACAAGTGGAGCTGAGATTAGAGCGGGAGATCTATATCTCTATATTATATAGACTATATTATACTGTAGGACAAGGAAGAGATACAATTCCAGACCCAAGTCTGATAACGTGTCAAAACCTTAAACCGTTTACATTAGGGAGAAGGGAACGGCTCGGCAGGTAAAGTGCTTCTGCGCAAGCATGAAGGCCTCAGTTCAGGTTCCCAGTGTCCATGGGGAAGCCAGGGTCAGCGCCCCTCACCTCAGTGCAGGAAGTGGAAGTAAAAACAGGCAGACAGCTGGAGCTCTCTGGCCAGACAGTCTTTCTAAAGCACAGAGTTCCAGCTTCAGGGAGAGACCCTCCTCAAAAACAAGGGGGAGTTGGGCTGTGATGGTGCATGCCACCCAATCCCAGCACTCGGGAGGCAGAGGCAGGCGGATCTCTGTGAGTTCGAGGCCAGCCTGGTCTACAAGAGCTAGTTCCAGGACAGTTAGGACTGTAACACAGAGAAACCCTGTCTAGAAAAACCAAAAAACCAATCAACCAACCGAACAAAGAAAAACAAGGGGGAGAGTGACAGAGAAAGACAAATGACAGAGCCTCTGGCCTCCACACCCAGGTATGGGCACTTCACACACACACACACACGCAGACACACACACACACGCACGCACGCACGCACGCAGACACACACACACACGCAGACACACACACACGCATGCAGACACCCACATACACACACACACACACCCCACACACACAGACAGACAGACAGAGAGAGAGACTTAACACTGTCAGTGTCCTGGAAGGTTGGTTCTTAAAGAGTCCCCCACACCAAGTGTGAAAAGGCTGTTTGGTACTACCTCATCATCATAAGAAACGGTGACAGATTCAGGCATGGAGAAACAAATTAGCTCAGAACAGGACAGATGTCTCACCTATCAGGTTGGTAAAATACCCCATGACAGAAACCAATCCTCTCACAAAAGATTCCTAGAAATGAAAACTGGCTCAGCCTACTGAAAAGGCAAGCCGATACCACCAAATGCATACATGAGCAACTTGATATGACCCGATGTATATGCAAGCATGCTCTTCCCTAGAGCAATCCTATTTTTAGGGATTTATCCTAAAAAACACACGGTATTCTGTTGAAGACATTTTAAAAAACACTTTTCAAGTTTAGATTTTCTATCATAGTTTGCATACTTTTTTTCTTAGTAGCATGCAAGAGTGACTTTAAGAATTGATAACGTCTAAGCACCTAAGAAATATGGTATGAATAAGGGTTCATTTATTGAAGTAATGACAATTGTGACATAGACATACAGTAATATAGATGTACTGGTAAGAAGATGGTCACACTGGGTGGTGGTGATGGCACATGCCTTTAAACCCAGCACTTGGGAAGCAGAGGCAGGCAGATCTCTGAGTTCAAGGCCAGCCTGGTCTATAGAGTGAGTTCCAGGACAGCCAGGGCAACCCAGAGAGAAACCCTATCTTGAAAAACCAAAAAAACAAAGGAAGGATGGAATAAAGATAGAAAGATAGGAAGGAAGGGAGGAAGGGAGGGAGGGAAGAAGGAAGGAAGGAAGGAAGGAAGGAAGGAAGGAAGGAAGGAAGGAAGGGAAAAGAAAGAAACCGATCACATTAAAAGTGGTTCAGCATCTGTACAATGCACTGCATCGATATAGGAACAGGGGTGGATCATGATCATGCCTGTAGTATACTTTAAGCAAAGACATCAAGTCATATATTGATTGGTATATATGGGCAAAAGGCATATGTATATGGACAGTGGGTATACATTTGGTGTATGTATAGAAAATGGCTCTTATGATGAAAAGTTTGTCAATATAACACCAAGAAAGAGCTGAAAAGAAAGATTATTATCAAAAAAGAGTTATGAGCAAATGAAATTACAATAAAGCTCACCTTCTTGTCACTCCACCTCATGCCTGCAAGAAAAGCCATGACCAATGTGCACAGTCCTCCTGACCCAGGGAAGCCAAAATACACACTGCTGAACACAGCTAACACAGCAAAGCCCAGAACCAGGAAGGCTCGCTTCCACACAAGGTTGTCCTGGAGGAAAAACAGTTGGTCAGATCAATTATTTCAAATAACTAATTTAATTTAATTTAATGATGGATTGATTATTCTTTACCTAGGATTTATATGGAAACTAAAGAATGTTCTACGATTTATATGGAAACTAAAGAATGTTCTACATACAACACTTGCTTTAGTCAAATTTCCAATGTCGTTATGAATGTTCTGAAATTTCAAAATAACGTAAATTTTGTAAAGATACCATTTCTGTATGCTTGTTTAACATCTGAAGGTTTAGGGAGTGAAGGAAGCAAGCTTCTGCTTCTCATTAAGAAAGCTGACCTTGAAGAGAGATGTTTTACTATAGTATAATGAGATGTCTTTTTCTGTTTGATAGCATTAGAAGTTAGAGTATTTTGATGCTTAACTGGGTACAAAAATCCACTATAAGTCTTGATTTAGTTGAATACTATACACCTACTGACAATGTACATATCCTATAATATTGTTTTACAATGAAATTTGAAATGTACATAATATAAATTATGTATCATATATACTATATATTTATATTAATTATGTAAGCATTCATAGTTATGTATAGGAAATTCCAGAGCAACATTAGACTTCATGTGTGTAGTCCTCAGCCTCAGGCATAGTACCAATAGAGCAATCAGCAATTTAAAAAGGGACCATTTCCTCAGTGATGTACTGCACATCCAGTTTTGTGAGGAAGGTGTTCTAGAAATTTCTTCCATTGACAATTTGCAGCACGATTTTCTCAGTTTGCTTCTTTTACCTGGTCACTGCTTGGAAAGTATTGTACAAAAAACCCAAGGAAAGATCCAGTAGCTACGCCAATTACGACCTCCAAAATGCCCCTGAAGATGTTAAAAACTGTAGACCCTGAAAAAACACATGGAACGAAAAAGTTTAGCCAGGACTCCAAATCCACAAATCCACAAACTTTAGTCCAACGTCATCAAGCGAGATCACATAACCAAGCAGAAGGGAGTTCTTACAGACAGTTTCCTAGGCTTTACATTTTTAAAAATTATTATTTTATGTGTGCAGCTGTTTTGCCAGGATGTACGTCTGTGCACCACATGCATACAGAGCCCAAAGAGGCCAGAAGGAGGCCTTATAGCCCCTGACACTGGAGTTACAGATAGTTGTGCGCTGCCATGTGGGTGCTGGGGGAGTCAAAATGGGTCTTCTAGAAGAGCAGCCAATGCTCTTAACTGTTGAACCATCTCTCCAGCCCTATACTCTCCACATTTTCAATACAGATGACTTTAAATATCTATTAAAATGCTTCTAGCCAGGTTTGGTGGCACATACCTTTAGTTCCAGCACTCAGGAAGCAGAGGCAAAAGGATCTATGAGTTCGATGTCAGCCTGGTATATAGAGCCCAGGACAGACAAGGCTATACAGAGAAACCCTGTCTTGAAAAAAACAAAACAAACCAAAAAACCAAAAACCAACCAAACAAACAAACAAACCAAACCAAAAAAAACCCTGCTTCTATCTTTTAAGAAAAGAAAAGCATTGTTGAACAAGACTTTCAAAACCAGAATAAGGCGTGGCTTAGATACTTTCCATAGGTTTACTTACCTAATAGTTTTCTTAAACCTACCAACTTATGAAACATAAAATTCACCATTCAGAGCAGGCTTGTGTAAGGGCCTAAGTTAACCTGTAAGCTTCGAATTTGGCTCAGAAATCGTGGAACTAGTGTTTCTCTCGCGATCCTCAAGTTTAATGCTTGTTCTACTGTGTTTTATGCATAGATGAATGGGGGATAGAGATGGTTGAGCTTTCAAGTTACAAGAGCTGGATCTGTAGATCAAAGCAACTTAAAATCTGATAAAGTAAAACAGCTGACCAATTATTGTAAAAATAAACCTGAAATAAATTATTTGTGAAGTTTCCTTGAGAAGGATTTTTCTTTGTGTGTGGCTTAACCCCTTTAGGGTATCACAATGCAGTGGGCAGTAGAGCCTGTTTCCCATCATAGCAATCAGGGTTCAGAAGACTACACTTTCAAAGTCTACATTAGCACATCGTACAGAAAATGGTGTTAAAATTCTTCTCCACATAAATCTGTTAGGTTTCAAACCCAAACAAACAGCTGAGGTGCCTACCTAACACATCAAAGTGGACCTGGTTGCCAGGTTCTCCCAGCATCCCTTAGTCCTTACCTGTTAGAGGGTGCAGCTGGCACACTCTGCTCCCTACCCTGAACTCTGCAACCCAGGGGACTGAGCTGGCATTTCCTGTATAATCCAATCATTTTGGTTACTCCTTCCCCCACTTCCTGTACTTTTGCCCTCTCGGTTGCTGCCCCTGGTCTCCCTCTGTCTCCCCTCCCCCTCTCCCCACATGACACAGCTCAGCCTGGTCACGTTCATTCTGGAATCTCACATGTGTCTGCCTCTGGCTATGCCCTCACACATATCTATAATAAATGTTTTCCTCCACCATACCTAGGAGTTTTCTTTATTTTTTATGTCCTTTTCATTTCATTTTTTCATTCAAAGGACATTTTTCTTTTCATGTTTATTTTATATCTATGGGTATTTTGTCTGCATGCCACATGTGTGCCTTCCTAAAGAGGGTGGCAAATCCCCTAGAACTGGAGTTACAGATGGTTCTGAGCCATCATGCGGGTGCTGGGATGTGAACCTGGATGCTCTGCAAGAACGCTAAGTGCTCTTAAGCCCTGATCCATCTCTCCAGCTCAGAAAGCCATTTCTCAACCATTTCTCAACAAATCACCGTGGTTTCTTGTTGCTGCAATAAACATTTCTCATATATACACAAACTTACATACTTTTACTTGGTAAAGACAGCTTTTCTGGAAGGTGGACAGTGTGCTTGTCAAAGGTGCCCTGCTGAATGTGCTGGGGATCTGGGTGAGCGGAACACTTGCCGGACATGAGCAAGGCTCTAGGTTCCATTCCCAGCTCTATCTTCTAGAAACAAAACCAAAAGCCCATCTGTGATGCATCATGCTCCAGCTGTTTCAAGAAAGACTGTGCTATCTGCTGGGCGCTGGTGGTACACGCTGTTAACCTCAGCACTTGGAGGCAGAGGCAGGCAGATCTCTGAGTTCGAGGCCAGCCTGGTCTACAGAGCAAGTTTCAGGACAACCAGGGCTACATAGGAAAACCCTGTCTTGAAAAAACAAAACAAAACAAAAAAAAAGGACAAACAAATAAAAATAAAAGGAAGAAAGAATGTACTCTAGAATCTAGAATGTAACCAGTACTTTCAGTTTCCTGTATGGTAAAACACTGTTTCAAACAAACAAATCCTTGTGCTGGTACCAAAAATACTATCAGGAAACCTAGGTTCAAATTCAAAACTGCTGTGAGCAGGCCTTGGGGCCAGCGGAGGTGGCACAACACAGTCAGCAGAGAAGATTCTTGAGCTATGGAAAGCTCAAAGCAAGCTCCTCTAAGGACTGCTGTTCACCGTTTGTTCTTCTTGCCTCCTCTGTGACCCCAAGGCAACCCTGTTGCTTTGAAGCCATGGTTCCTAGTCATGGCTACACTGGCTTCCATTCCCAAGGGTGACTGTTTTAATTGGCCTAAGGTAATGTCTATGTTAACAAAAAAAGAAGGAAAGAAAATGAAAGCTCCCTGGGTAATGTTGCTTTAAAGCTAAGGCTGAGAACTGTTGTCTTAAACATTCACAAGGAAACAGTGGGAACAGAAATTTGCCTAGATTTGTATAGTAAACTAAAGACAATTATCTATGCCCGTTTCTTCCTAGGGAAGGAGTGAGCATTCATTAGTTATGGAAGAAGAACGTAACATTGTAAAACCTTATGGAAACTAACTTACAAGGGACTGACAAAGGCTGAAGGCAGGAGGACGGGAAATGCTCCTATTTAGAGTTCACTGTTCCTCCCAGTTCCACCCAGACTGCGTATTTATGTGTGTCTATGGCAAAACCTCCTCATGTTTTTGTGGTTTCTACACGTAAACTTTCCTAGACCTCTCCTTGAAGAAACTGCTCCTCTGTCAGCCTCGTTACCCTGTACCTGCCTCGCTTGTACTCATTTAGTAGGGGGAAGACAGGCAGCTTCTGGTTTGTGTTGGCTTTAGCAATCACACCCTGTTTAAACATTTTAACTCCATCTCTGCAGAACAGAACAGCCGCACTCCTGACAGGTGAGATTACCTGTGGAAAAGGCCACACCCAGACATGTGTTGAAGCCAGTGATGGCCAAAATGTCATCAAAGCTGCCAGCAGCCATGAGCAAAGTCGGGACACCTTTTTCAACCCCGTAGCCTCCTTCTTGCAAAAGGAGCATGGAAGGCACCACAACGGCTGGAGACACAGCACCTATGACAAAACTGAGCAGCCGGGTATCAGATGCTGTGGCCAAAAGAAATTGCTCACTATGACGACCTCAGGATTCGTCACAATGCCTCCTTCTTCTATGCCTTTAAAGGCTAGACTTCGGATGACTGCAGTCTTTCAAACAGTTCAGAAACACCAAACCAGAAACAGGAACACAGAAAGCTCTACAAAACACTGCTCTTTGAAGCATATCCACGGGCAATCTGTTTACAATGACCTAGGTTGCCTAAAATGTATGCATCATGAGAGATATTGAGTCAGTAATGGAGTTAGGCCATAGTAGGTGCTTAATATATATATATATATATATAGTTGATATATATACCAATATTATATATTGTTGATATATATATATATATATCAACAGGTCTTCAGTTAGATCTTGAAATGTGAAATAAGACAGCAGATTTGAAGGAGGGGGCTACGAGGTATGAGGATGGGGCAGGTGTAAGGCTGGGAAGTGTTTTACACACTCACTATGCTCTGGACAGCCACTGTGAGGACCTCACACATATAAACTCATTTCCTCACTGTAACACTGAGAAACAGATACAGGCAAGGGCATCGAGGCACAGAGAGACTGGATGACTGGAAGTCACAGAGCTGGGGCTGGAATCTAGGCAACAGCCCCCGAGTCCTACTTCTGACAGGTAGGAATTCTTCTTGCCCATAGGTAAACACCAAATTGCCGCTATATAACCTTCACTTGTACACGCCTCATGGCTCTCACACACTGAATGTGAAAACAGGACACTAGAAAGAATGTGTTGAGAAACCATCCAGTTGCCATGTCAGGTGGCAGAAGGAACACTTAGTGTTTCAAACCATTTATGGAGGCTCTGCAGTGGGATCCAGCAGCTAACACCCGGGCTTGGAATTGGGCATAGTGAAAAACAAAAACAAAAACATAACTTCTTTAGTAGTTCATCTGACTTCAGTCACTGCCAAGTTCATTATTACAGAGACAAAAACTCTATCTTAAAGCTAGACTGTCTAGACTATGCTACGCTGGAGTGTCGATGATGTGTGTTATGGCTCTCTTCAGGAGATGTTATTTTTACAAACTCTTAAATGGAACCAGGAAGTTTCAAATGCCCCTCAATATCTTCATAGAAAAAGAAAAAAAATCATTACCCCAGTATGAAGCCCCACTGCCAAGGCAAACCCATCAGGAAGTGTGCAAGAAGGGCAGAAGTGCATGCCTCCACAATGCAGGGACCCATGGCCAGGCGCACACATACACCCTTCAGTTTCTTCAGTGCCTGAAAAATAGGAATGGACACACTAATGTGTTTCTGAACATGTGGACAGTATCATTGCCAACGCTTGCTCAGCCAGGGTTGGCCATCACATCTTTCCAACTAGTTTTATTCAGCAGGTATTTCTACATTTTGCAGGTTTGGGAGACAGGGTACCCAGTCCTCACAGATATCCTGCACCAGGCACCTGCTGGTTCTCTTTTTAGATGTCATCCTTTAAGAAGGCACAAGTTTACAGTCACGCAGATGACTTCAAGGTCTGTGTTTGCAACCCATATACTATCTAACTATCCACTTGGCTTGTGGCTCACAGCCCCAGAAAGAGGCCAGGTGAGGATGTTTGTCTCCAAGGAACGCTCATTTGCACATTCAAAGGTATATAGGTTTAAAAAAAAAAAAGCATGCCTACGATTCACTCCATTTGCAAGGAAGCTCCTTGAGTCAATGTAACTAGCCCTACTCAATGTACTGGACATGACACACTGTCTCCCCATGATCATTACCTCTCCTATGACTTATATCTGTGTCTTCCCCTCCACAGTAACACCAGTTCCTTCACAACATAGTCTGGGAACATCTGGATGCCTGTGAGGCACAGGGCAGGAGTACAACGATCCTCCCTTGAGAAAGCTCCTGCCTCTTCCTGAGACTGTCATGTGCATTGTCCATTCATTTCCCAGAGCTTAATATTATAAATACTTGCAAGAAGAATGTCAGCAGGACATATTTACTATTCAATAATTAGAATTCAATAATTCACACTGCATACCTTTGGGTCCAGACCAAGGCCAGCACGAACCAAAATGACAGAAAGGGCTATGCTTCTCAAAGAAGAAGACCACTTATGCTGGATCCGGACATTCTCACTGATGACTGGGACATTTCTCAAGAGAAACCCAGCAAGCAGCATCCCTTGAATAGATTAGTCAAGCAGAGCTAGTTAAGTTTTCAGACAAGGGGTTCTTTTTTCCATCACCACTCTACATACGGCAGGGGCTGCAGTCTAGTTTTCCCTATGCTTAGTCTTTGGATGAAATGACGTTAAACTCATAATTTAAAAAAAATATAATAAAGAAAAGAGTCAAAGAAATACTTCATATGTAAAGATGATTAGAATAATTAATACTGTCAGAATAATTGGGTACAGAAGGGACACACAAAGTGTAACGTTTCGAAGGAATAATTATCAAATCCCAAATAAGATGCTTTAATCCAATGTCAGTTCGGTCACTCCTGAGGGCAAACAGCTTCTTAAATTATTTGCAATGTCAGGTTACCTGAGCTATCAATAAGTACTCACACGGATTCTACTTCTCCTTCACAGGAGACAGTCTGTCAGAGAGACGTAGCACACTTTGTAAAGGCTTGAAAAACAATTATGGTAATCAGACATGGCCCTACTGCGCCAGACAGTGCCTCCTCTTTTATTCGCTGTTTACCATTTACTGGGTACCATTACTGAGAAAAGATAGGGAAGTAAGGGGGCCCAGGGCAGGGGTCAGGGGACGGTGAAGGGCCTGGCACATGGGACAGAGAGTGGATATTTCGAGGCATAAGAAATTTCACATTCCAGGAGTCACAAGTAGCTAAATGTAACTGAACCTTGTAAGGGAATTCTTTAAGGGAACTGTAAGTCCAGTTAAGGAATTCTGCCCACATTTAGGTCACAAGTACATATGAAAGGAAAGATCCCTCAATCAAAGACCCTGAGGTCTGTGCTCTCCACACCTGTTCTGCTGTACCTCTTCACTGTGTTCGCATAAGAACCACACTTCACACTGATAAACACACTGTACCTCTTCACTGTGTTCACGTAAGGACCACAGCTCACACTGATAAACACACTGTACCTCTTCACTGTGTTTGCATAAGAACCACACTTCACACTGATAAACACGTTCACTAAAGGAAGGACACTGTATAGAAACAGAGACAAACTGTGACGTGCTACAGACACTGTTGAATATGTAACTGTCATTTCTCACTACTGACATTCAGTCTAGAAAACAAACAAACAAACCTGAGTTCTGAATTCTGTTGCCCTGGTCTATCTAGAACCATGGAGAGGCCTGTAGTACCTGTTTTTTTTATGGTTATTAAGTTTATTTATGCTTATTTTTATCCCCACCAAGTCCGACCTGTGTTGTGCACACCCAGAACTATTTAGGTCACCCTATTTACAGAAGGGGTAATGTTAGGAGGTCACACACACATGTGAAGTCAAAACTAACACATCGCTGAGGAAAGAAAGGCCATTCATGCCTGTAATCAGGCATGGTGGCACAACCCTTTAATCCCAGTACTTGGGAGGCAGATGCAAGCGGACCTCTGAGTTCCAGGACAGCCAGCACTACATGGAGAAACCCTGTCTCAAAAAAACAAAAACAAAACTCAAACAAAACAAAATAGATTGAACAAGCCCCGCCTTGCGGCATTTATTGATTTCTGCATCGCAGACTCGTCTAGCATAGCTGATTTTAGTGTGTGCACCTGAGTTACTATTTGTGGAGTTCAGAGACAACGGGCAGAGGCATACCATTAAATGGCACAGCCATAACCTCAAGAGCTTAGATAAGAGGAAATACAGTAAAAAAAAAAAAAATAGCTAGAAAGCTATTGGAGTATTCATCCCTCTTCATTTTACATGTGAACTATTTAATTGTAAATTCATATTAATTAATTTAAAAAATCACCACATTGAACAACTGGCTCAAAAAAACTTCTTTAACGATTGGAGCCAGAGAGATGGCTTAGCTGGTGATGTGTCTGCCTCGAAAGACTGGAGACATGAGTTTGGTTCCCAGAACCCACATAAAGATGAAAGGAGAGAACTGACCCCATAAAACTGTTACACACACACACACACACACACACACACACACACACACACACACACAATTTTTTAAATTAAAATTTAGCTTTGGTCTCCAGGACAGCAAATACTGAAGTATTTCATTCTTTTATTTCCCAAGACCTCCCAGAGAGTTTTCAATGCTATCATTTGCTTTGAGGAAATCAAGAAGCGTTTCACACTCACCAAGAAGAGGAGGCAGAGGAGGCAATGTCGGTAGCCTAATGAGTCCAAAAACTTTACCTCCGGCGACAGCACAACAGAGCAGGACTAGGATTCCAAACAGATTTCCTCCAGGAAGACACTCAGGGCCGGTAACTGACCAAACCACAGCCCACAGAAGAACAACCATGGTACCTAAAGAAAAACATAATTTAAAAAAAAAAACCCACAAAAATAAACCCAAAACATCAGGAAAACTAATTATTACATGCAAACTTTGTTGTGTTCTGAAGTGAATTTTGAATAAACATTGACTCCATATGCGAATGTTTATAACCATGAGTTATAAAGGACATAGGGATGCCAGCAACTAGGAAATCAGCAGCTTAAGGACCAGGGGCTTGGCAGCGCCTGTGAGAACACGCCTTGCCTGTCTCAGCCCCGTTTTCCTCCACAACGCCAGAAGAAACTACTGCCTTGCAACACAGGAACAACTGATATTTCAGAGAACAATCACTGTCTTTGCCCTCTTAGTAGGAACTTGAGAATATTTGCACTCCAGTTATACCCTTGCATTTAGTTCTGCCTTGAATTAAATATTAACCATTATTTCTTTTATTGTCAACGTTTGCTCAGAATTATCACACTTAAAAAAAACAAAGAACATGACCCATTGCTATGCTATCTCAAAATGAAAAAAGAAAATTAACCCAGTGACCAAACAAATGCCTCTTTCTCTAAAACATCAACTTTTATTTCAGAGACGTAAACTACTATTCCAGGGAAATACCTAAGATACTTCCAGTATTTTCCAGTAGAGTACACAAGAATTCCAGAAAATGTTACAGGCAGAATGGAAGGCATGATTTGCCAGCTGTTAAGTCTGACTTCGTTAAGGGATAAACTGAACTTTTCAATAATTTCGCAGTTAGGAGTTTTCATTTTTTCATGCTAAGATTATTTTCTCTTCTAACTCTCCTGTTATTCCCAGTTCCTGAGAAACACTTGTAACTGTTATTTATGTGTATATTTATTTATAAGATATTTCTAAATCAGGCTTAAATAGCCAACAATTTATTTGTCCTTTATGATTTTGGGAAAACATAGCTTCCATGTAATAATTACTTCCCAAGAAGAGTTTATGTGTGTTAAATGATGCAGGAGCAATAGAACAGAGCCATCGACCTCAGAAGCAGAGACATAGGAAAACGGTTTGCACACGCTTCTCTACCAGGAGCCCTCACTTTCCAGGAATGTTTCTGAACAATTCTAAATTTAAAAAAGAGTTCTCAGGCTGGAGAGAGAGCTCAGTGAGTAAAGGGCTCGTCATGCAAGTGTGAGAAGGAAGGATTCCTAGCAGGTAAGTAAGTGCTGATGTCACCATGACAACCTAGCTAGACTAGGCAGATCAGTGAGCTCTGGGGCCAAGCAAGCCTCTACAGGCTGCTCCCATGGAGGTTAGCTAAACCTGTCTCCTTGTTCAGCTATATGTAATAACCCCGACTCCTTGTTAATCTGTGTGTAGTAAGCCCTCTTCTGTGTTCAACTGGACATAATAAACACGTGGAGCCTCCCAGGTGCTGCAGCAGCTTCTCCATGAGAGAGCCCAGCCCACCTGATGCCAGCTTTTCTGTGCATCCGTCTTTTCATTTCCTTGCTATCCCAGTTAGGTCAATCCCTAGTCAGGGTCCCGGGAGCCAAGTCACGCAAAGAGTGAGGTACCAGCCTCACTATGTAAAATGGAGAGGGAGGAAAGAAGGCCCAATACCAATCTCTGGCCTCTACACATATGCACACTAGTGCATACACACACACACACATGCACCCACATACGGGAATATGCATGCACATATGGAAGCATACAATGACACAAAATGAGTTCTCAAATCACATTGTTCATTTTTACATATTCCTCGGGCAAACAGTATCTGTTTTTATTATACGATTTTTTAACTAGATATTGTCATATTTTCAGTGCTAAAAGTTTAAAAAATCATCTAAAGGAGAGACGAGGTATCAAATTATGGGCAGCCTCTCTAGCTAGATATATTTTGAGACCTAGTTTTCTGTGTTCCAAACAGTTTAACTTCTCTTTCCCACAGTGGTTCAGAATCTTACTTTTCCAGTAAAAACATACACCGCCTAAAGCTTAACATATTATATTTGTTTCCATTGTCCTGCATGAAGATGATGAAGATCTCTGTGAGAACTCCCTTCTAAAGTACAGTTCTAAAATCTTAGCTCAGGCTGGGTGGGTGGTGCAGGCCTTCAACCTCAGCACTAGAGAGACCGAGGCAAGAGGAGCATGAGTACTGAGCTATACACATAACATTTGTTGAAACAAAGCAACACACACATGCACACACGCACACACACTCTCTCTCACACACAGCAAGGTCAAGGGAACTAGGAATTGAGAATTGAGCCTTGGTGTTCAGGAAACAATGTACTGCAATCATGTTTTCATTTCTCAACAGTTTCCAAATATAAAATTTGTTATAAAATTTGCTTTTATACAAAGTTTTCAACACCTTCTTTCTTGTATTATTGCACAGTTCACACACACCGTGGAAGTCCATACATGTACATGCACACACTCTTTTCTTCTCTTTCTTCCTTTGTGAACAAAAAATTGTACCAGTGATGATGAACATGTATACACCCATCAAATTTCTAACATATTTTAGGTTTCCTTCATAAACTAAAAGACAAATATATCTCAACTGAAACAATATCCAAAACAATCTGGATAAATCCTTCTCCTCCACCCAAACTCCTCAAAGTCTGCTAAGAACTGATTCAATTGCAAACCAAGATTCTTACTTGTAAAATGACAGGATTTGATTAGAAGCATAAAATGATCACTGTTTGTTCAACATTAGTCACACTGCTATTGCTGTAACGGCATCAACAGTTACATAATGCTTCCCCGGTACTCAGACGTTTGCAAACAGTGCTCTCGTTGGAGCCTTACAGTGATTGTGGGAAATTATTCAGATAGAGAAAATGTTCTTTAATCCCTGCTCTTTTGACTGCAAAGTGTACTGGCTCAAATGTGGTGCCCACAGCCCCCTGTGAAACCACACTTTGAGGTGATGGAGTTTTTCACACCCCCACCCCTAGTGACTGTGTGGAGCAGAGTCGTAACCATTGTCAGCTGTCTACCCAGTAACTTTAACTAAAGAAGAAGGATGTTTCTTATTGTGGTTGGAAGCTCTCACCCTGACTTTATCTTTGATGTTCTGAGCTCATCCCTGCTGTCTACGCACCGTTCGTTATCACTTTGCCCAGCGAGCCATGTGGAGGGCAAGCCAGCATTCGTCTCAGACTCTGCAAGTGACCAGATTCTGTTGCCAATTCCGGAGACTTTTTCTCACCACTGTTCAGCAGGTTACTGTCTTCCGTTGGCTCATTCCCATCTACCCCTTTGAGGTTCATGATTCTCTCTTCCTGTATTTAAAACAAAATTTTTAAATCTTTAAAGCTGTGTTTTCATCCATCATTAAGCTATTAGCTTATCGCATGTCAAATAAAATTGCCCTTATTAAAATCTAGGATAATACCTTATGAAGAAACACACAACTTTCTTGCCAATAAGTCAGCTAGTGCTTAGAACAAGAACCACTGAAGAATATTTAACAATGGGTTCGTCCCTATTTTTAGAGTTTTAAATGCTGAAGTCACATAAAGTTACATTGTACAATACTAGGTCTCAAAATCGGTATAGTTAAGACATAATTCAAGACGATAGCAGGCGAATATACCAAAGAGATTCAAGAAAGGAGAAGAGGGAGGAAGGGAGGGAGAGTGGAAAAGAGCAAGGAAGGCAAGCACACAAAATCCTAGGGCTTAGGCCAGGAACACACAAGGCTATTTTGCCAACCTCAGGTAGGGACAGCTACCAATGACCTTAGGTGGAAAACTGATAGACATTATATACCCTGGTCTATGTGATCATGGAAATTAAGCATGAGGACGATTTTTCTCTTTTTTCTTTCTTCTTTCCTTCCTTCCTTCCTTTCTTTCTCTCTCTTTCTTCCCCCTTTCTCTCTCTTCCTCCCCCTCTTTGTTTCTCCTTCTCCCTCCCTCCTCTCCATTTTTTTCCTACTTTCTTTCTCTCTCTCCCTTTCTTTCTTTCTTTCTTTCTTTCTTTCTTTCTCTTTCTTCCACCTCCTCTCCCTCCCTTCCTCCTTCCCTCCCCCTCCTCTCTCTTCTTTCTTTCGAGACAGGAGGGTCTCACTAGGTAACTCAGGCGACTGCATACTCATAGTGTTTCTACATTACTCTTCCGAATGCTGGCTTTCTAGGAATGTGTCACTTGGCCCTTCTGGGAGAATTGTTAGTTGACTGGTAAAGAATGAGGAGAAACCATCCTCTCAGCTTAGTGGTGTGCTGAGGGGAACAGCTGGGGTTTCCTGCCTTTGGTTGGTCATCTTACCTGTGGTCCTTGATGCTCAGAAGCTGTGTGACTGGTCCCAGTGGATGGCTTTGAGTCCTGACCTCCAACTGTCTTATCTTCATCCTCCATGTCTTATAATTTCAAAGGCGATGATTCAGGGATGAGGAACAAGGTCTGGATTGAAGGAGACACAGCACAGACACAGCAGTAATTGAAGACCATTGGAAGGAGATGACTAAATTCCCTTCTCTCTTGCCTTGGAACTCAGAGGGTGGACCCATGCTAAGTCAGAATGCTCTCACCTTTCCATGGTTGGCCCTTTCCTTGAGTCCAACGTATTTGTCTGCATTCTTATCGAGTTTTTGGCTGCTCTTGAAAGAAACCCTTGTTGATCTATCAAATCTTAATTCCTTTCCCAGCATCCCTTGAGGCTTGAGTTTTGAAACACACAGGCTGCCCTAGCTAATGGGCTGACTCCACAGTCAGGTAGCTTTCCAGGGTTGGCCGCAGGAATGAGTCATCAGCGGAACTCTATCCCCATCCCACTGTTTCCTGAGAGCCAAGAGTCTCTTATTCCTGCCTTGTCTGCATTTCTGGATTGTTATGACTGACACCGTGAGATTTCCCCATGTGAAACTTTGAGGACATTTAGAAGAGAATCTGTGCAATTTTAAAGCTTCAGAGAAGAGACAATTATACAGTTTGCCTTGGTCACGATAGTTATTGTTGTAGAAGAAGAAAACTGTAGATCAGGCTGGCCTCGAACTCCAAGATCTGGTTGCCTATATCTCCTAAGTGCTGGGATAAAAGGTGTGTGCCACCACCGCCCAGTTCACTCCGGATATCTTAAGTTAAATGCTACGTAGAGAATTAGATAATCCCGAGAGTTTTGAAGAGTGCTAGAAAAGCAGGGTCTAGGCTGCGCCCTCAAGGGTGAACCCCAGAACACTGGCAACTGACCATTAAAAATGTTCTATTTAAAAAGAAATAATAAAAAATAAGAAATGTTCTATTTTCACCACAGGCAGGAGTTCCCACAGAGTGTGTGAAAGTCAAGAACAACACAGTAGCTGTCGTTAGAGAAGCTGGGATCCGGATGTGGTCTCCAGGGAACAAGAACATATTTGTGGTAGTCTGAACGGAATGGACTCCCTAAGTTCGTATATTTCCTTACTGAAGCTCCAGTTGGTAGACCTGTGAAGGAAGGTGTGGCCTTGTTGGAGGAGGTGTGCCGCTAAGAGCGGGCTTTGAGGTTTCAAAAGCACACAGCACTCCCAGTGTGTCTCTCTGCCCTTTGGTGTGTCTTAGCTCAGCTGCTGCTCTAGGACCTGCCCGCCTGTCTGCTGCCATGATGATTAACTCCTCCGACACCGTAAGTGCTGCCAAACCTCTTTCTTCTCTAGGTTTCCTTGGTCGTTGTGTATTATCACAGCAACAGAAAAGTAAGTAGGACAGTTCAGCCACTTCCCTCAACGAACATTCTCTACTACATCGTCTAGACTGGTCTCAGATTTGGACTCTGTTGCCTTTGTCTCCTGAAGGATGAGAGTCCTACTCGACTGCGACTCCCTCTCTCCTGCCACTGCCTCCTCAGGATTTAACATGGTATGACTGAGTCTGAGAGTCTCTGGGCGCAGGAGCCCCACCACCAGCAGTTCTGAAGACTGGCACCGCCATCACCAGGGCCTTCCTTGCCCATAGAAATCATTGGACAAATAGCAAGGAGATGGCCTTAAGTAATGATTGATTGGACGGCCCAGGCCACTGTGGGTCCTGGGGGCTATAAAAAGGCACACCGAGGAAGCCAAGGGAGCAAGTCAGTAAGCATTGTTCCTCCAAGGCTTCTAGTTCAGTCCCTGCCTTGACTTTCTATGCTAAATTCCCTTCGTGATGGACTGTATAAGCCAGTGAGATGAAATAAGCCCTTTCCTCCCCAGGTTGCATTTGGTCCTGCTGTTTTATCACAGCAATTGAAAGCTGACTCTTTGCCCACATCCCCAGTGCATCGTGGATGCTGAGGGCCTAACTTCTAGTTTATGTATACTCTGATCCCAGAGTTGCGTTTTGAACTCCTGTAGGGGGAAACACAGTTGTATCTCCTGTCCAGGTGCCTGCTTGGCTCAGAGAAGGCGTAGGTGTTTACTGAACCGAAACTCTTCATTCAGGACTTGGAGGGAAACAGTAGGCCAGCATCCAGGGAGATACCTGGGCAACTGCTAAGGGGTTGGGCGGGGGTGGGGTCGGGAGTGGGGTGGCTTGCATTTCAGAGGGAGTAGGCCTGTGTCAGACACCAGCTCCATTCTATCTGCTGATGTTGGTTTCTTGCCGGGGGTGGGGGTGGGGGGGCTAAAGCTTCTTACCATTAATATTTTGGTGAAATCAGTTTCACCCGAGTCTGGAGCAAGAATGAGACAAGAATCTGATGGCCTGGCAAGTACTTCAAGCAGGCCTAATAATCAGGTCGTGTCCAGACCTGATTATCCTCTGATCCCTGAAGTACTAGCCAGTCAAAAACCAAAAAAAAAGGTAAAACCCCGCTCAAATTACCTAATGACAGTAACACAAAGACACTAAATACACACGCGCGCGCACGCACACGCGCGCGCATACACATACAAGGACACGCACACACACTACGCGTGTGCTACTCACATCATTGCCGGCAGTCTCTGACACGGGCCACCCGGCTGCCGCTGCCGTTGTCTGGGTACCGAGCCTGGGTCTGCGGAGGCGGCGGGGAGGCTCGGCGGCTACGGATAACCGGGAGGTCCAGGGGCGCGGCGCAGGGCGGAGCGCACGGGTTCTGGGTTCAGTGCGCTCTGCCCGAGGGACAACCCGGCCCACTTGCCCGAATCCTTTGCTCCCCCTTCCTCACAGGGCTGGGCGCCAGCAGCCTGGCTCACTCACTGATCCCGAATCTCCTAAATTCTGTGATCCCACGCCACCTCCAGGACTCTCCCCATCTTCTCAGGGACTGTGGAGAGGCAGGTGACAAATGGCGGGGTGAGCCTTGGTTTATCTCGGTGAGCCTCTTGCTGTGGCCGTTTTACACTGGAACCCTTCCCGCGGTCGTTTATTTTTTATTTCTGATTTCCAGTTTGGTGTCTTCCTTTCCTAATTTTTTCCTTTTCTTTTAAAGCAGAGTTGAAATTTGTTATATTTTAAGATAGATTTTTAAACACTAGGGTTAAGTGGTCCCAGTCAGAAAGACACACCCTTCTCGAAGGAGAATTGCTCCCATCCCTTACCTGGTTTTACTTCTTGAGCAAATGCTCAGTTCAATCTTGGGTTTTGGGGATGCAGGTGCATCAAATAAATTTCTACGCCAGACAGAAATCATGGGTGACTCTTCTGGCCCATCCTTGGAATGAACCTAGGCTCCATCCAGTACCCTTTCTCGGAGGCAATGAAATGATTTTTTTTCCCTAAAATAATCTCATTTCTAAAACTTGCAAAAATTTCCATTCTCATCAGCTTCCTCATCTGCAGGTCCAAGGCATATTTTCCTTTCTTCCCCCATTGGTCATATGATGCTCACTTGATGTTTCTCTTTATTTGATTGGCATGAGTGGAAAAATTGAACTTTTTGGCTAGATTCATTCCTGCTTTCGTGGCTTATAACGTCTCGGCTCCGAGAGCAGTGGTTGAAGATCTCCTGCTCTTGGGATCTATGCTGTAGAATTCACCATGTTTAAATGAATTCATTTGTTTCTAGCATTGCGTGAGCCTGCTCGCAGCACACAGTACTTCAGCATTCTCCACTTCAGGGTTCCGTTCACTTACTAGAGAACGAGTTACGGCATTTTGATCATGATACCCAAAAAGGAAGACAAGGCATTTAGCCCAAATCCCTAATTTCATAAACAGAAAACCTAGCCAGGCAGTAGCACAACCTATAATCCCAACACTCCTGAGGCAGGAGATAGTGGTATCAAAGCAGTGTGAGCTGCAGAGTGAGAAGCTGCTTTAGTGAACACAGACCAGACAATTAAACCACAGGGCAGGCAGGGTGGTGGGTGTAGCTCACAACTCAGTCCACCACCTGCTTGGAGAATACCTGACCAGAACCCTAACCTAACTTGTCAGTGGAGTTGCTAGCAGCGCTACTCCAAGGACACTTTGTTGTGAATTTCAATTCAAATCCATCTTCATTCACGGAATGTTACCCCTATCCTGGGTGATTAAGTCTCTCTGAGAAAAGGCAAAGAGAAAGTGCTGGCTTCGCATCATACCGTCTTTTGAGCAGGACACCAAACAGCTCACACAGACAACGTAAAGCTGAAAGGAATCACTTGTAAAGGACGCTGTCGTTACCTTGATAAATTCACTTGTACTTCTTCTAGGATAATTTATTTCCTTTACTTTCACTTGTCTCCTGCTAGTGCCTTACTTATATTTATACAGAGCCTATTTTCAGAGTCAGGAGCCTCTAACTTGTTACCTGGAAACCGTTGAAAAACATTGCTGAATTTAATCTGCAAAAAATCCTCTCCATTGCCTGTATTGCACCCTAATTATATATCCTTAGTCTCATATTGGGTATAATTGCTGATTTTAATAAGCAATGTCTAGACTAAGAAAATAGCGCTAATACGTAGTAAACACTCAGTCATTTTTCTTTTACAAAACAAGACAAAATATGTAGCTGTCAATTAGAATTTCTCTCCTGTGTCATTAAAGCCAGCTCCTTTCTACCTGTGGCATGCATTTACGGTGGTGTAAAAATCTCAGGCTGGTACCAACAAACAGCAATGCAGAACTTACAAAAGCATTTCTGCTCTGAAAAATAAAGTGAAACTGGAAATAAATATTTTTCTTTAAAAAATTTTTTTTTGCATTCATAGTTTCATTTAACTTACTGCTATAAACTAAGGTATCCTTCCCAAATTCCTATGTTAAAACCTGAACCCTCAATGTGATGCTGGTCAGAAGTCAGGCTTGAGGAAGCAATTAGGTAACAAAAGGTTCTCTCCAGTTAAGGACCCATCTGGGTTCTTTTCCTCTTCTTTTCTTAAGAAAGGACACAGCAATGTGCCCCTCTGCATCCTGGAAATCAGAGCCCCATGAGATACAATGTATCTAAGTGCCTTGCCCCCGCATCTGGCCTTCACACTAAGCCCCAATGTCCAGATTTTATAGCCATAGTCTTTTGTAATAGTTATCTGCTATGCCCGTGGGATCTCACAAACCTTTGCTGATTTTAAAAACTACTCTTTTGAGTTATACATTTTATTTGATTTGTTTTCCATCGTTTCAGAAGAGACAGAGTCGACTGAAAGACTCCACTCTTGGGAGCAACCATTAAAAGGGGCCGTTTTCACGACTGTCATTCATAGGAGAGGTGATCACTGAGTCAGCTTCTTTTCCCTTTGAGCAGGAAGAGCCGGTCTTCTTGCAGGAGTTCCCAGCAGTCACAGGCTCCAGCCTCCATCAATGATGACAGGGTTGCCCGTTACATAGGCAGACTGCAAGGACAAGCACAGGGGACACACAGTTAGTCACGCTGGACCCAGGGTGTGTTTTGGACATTTCTTAGGACTGGGATAAACAAAACCTTTGATGCTCATGCTAACAGGAAACCATAACTGAACTGTTTGGATGACTTAGAACAGCTGAGCATCCCATGACCTGGAGCACACGGCCCGGAGCAGATGAGTGGGTCACATCCCGCGTACAGTCTGCTTGCCTTCAGAATCACAGTCTTAAGGAGAGGTGGTAGAAAGCATGCAGAAACAGTACGTGCTCTATCATCTTTTTCTGAAGCTCAGGACCATTCAAAGTCAGGTAACTTTCAGACCACTAGTGAGTGTTTTTAATGTGTGTCAGTCATTAAGTGGTCCTATTAACAATGGGGAAAAGAGAATGTTTATTAATTGATAAATTCATGAATTCACACTAAGTATATTTTAAAATCTAGATAGGCAATCATTATTGCAATACACTAACGGGTCAAATTATACTCCATGCTAGACTCAGATGCCCAACTATGTATAACACTAAAGGGTCTTAAAGAAATAGTTATTGGCTTCTGTTTGTCAACATTCCATTTCCCAGAGAACTAAAGCTGAAGTCATGGTAGAAGTTTAAAAATATCCCAACTTGCCAGGCAGTGGTGGCGCACGTCATTAATGCCAGCACTCGGGAGGCAGAGGCAGGTGAATCTCCGAGAGTTCGAGGCCAGCCTGGTCTACAAGAGCTAGTTCCAGGACAGGCTCTAAAGCCTGTCTCGAAAAACAAAAACAAAACAAAACAATAAGAACAACAAAAATCCCAGCTTGTCTTCTGGACATGGACCTGACAAGACCCTTGAAGTCAGTCATGCACAGCAGCTGAGGCTGCCTGTGAACATGAACACTATGTGTTAAGAGGGAGGGAGAGGCTCCTAAAGTCCCTCTTTAAACAAAAGAGCTATTGGCAGTTCATGGCTGCTGAGGGACAGGAGCCATTCTTCCTTAGGATGGTAGCCACTGGTAGTCCATTCGCATGTAAATAACCCCACACTAGAGAGCAACTCCCAGTATGCTCATTAAAAAAAAAAAAAAAAAAAGATAGGAATGGAAACTGGGAGGAGACTGTTGAGAAGAGAGGGCACAAAGGAGATGGGAGAAAGAGAGTAATGGGACTAAACATGGTCAAAATACATTATATAGATGTAGGAAATTGTCAAAGAATTAAAAAGTAAAAAAAAATCTATTCACTTAAAATGGATAATAAACTCTCATGTTTGTCTCCCTAGTTTGACAGAGATCTGAAGCTGAAATCATTGAAAGAGGCAGAAGAAAATACATTTTTTAATAAAAAATTTAAATACATGAAAACGGTAAAGTGTTTCCTTCAGTAATAATTTTCCTAGCAATTTCCCAGCTTCTAGGAACTGTTGCCAACAGTCTTGAGGAGTGGTACCTAAACCATCTCAACCTTTGTGTCTGTCACGATCACCAACCATCTGGGTGGCACTAAGTTACTGTGAAGAAGAACTAATAGGCAATTCTCCCCACTCCCCCACCCTCTTGCTTTAGAGGCAGACACTGCTGGAGGAGGGGGAGATCTGATTGGACCTCTGCCAGCCACCAGCGCTCAAGGGTGATCACCTGTCCACGCTAAGGCGGGCTTTTCCGCGATACAGCTCACCCCTGCCCCTGTTATTAGCCCCTTGCCTGCACTTCTGTTAGTGACCCCGATAAAAATGCATTGGTTCACCAAGTTAAACACTGGTGCAATTGTTGCTCTGTCTCTCGTGCATCCAGTACAGAAGAGGATGCTGTTATGCTCTGTACCTTGTAAGAGTTTTCTCTTTATCAGTCATACACACTAGTCACGGGGGAAGAAATTTGTTATTAAACAACTGTAAAGTCGAAGAGACAGAGTTAGGCATCTCTACACACAATGACGAACAAGAAGGGAAAAAGTCATGGACCCTCCCAATCAGGTCGCTAGTAAACTAAAGCGACATATACCAACTCTACCCCCAAACACAATTTAAGCTGGTGAGCCTGCTCACATCCGCCTTCAACTCTCACAATCAAGAGGGTTTTATAAAAATTACATTTTATTTGTTGTGTGTGTGTGTGTGTGTGTATGAATGCATGACATGCCAGTGAAGGTCAGAAAACAACTTCTGGGAGTTTGTTCTCTCCATTCACCAGGTCGGTGACAGGCTCGAACTTAACGTCACTGGGCTTGGCAGCAAGGGTCCTTACCCGTGAGTCATCTTGCTAGCCCAGGAGGTTTTTATATTTAATCAGTGTGCTAATAACTGTAATTTTAAAAAGCAAATAACTCAAATACGCATTTTAAAATTTTCCCTATTCATGTATGACATTCCGCTGAGTCATGTATAGCTGAACGAGGAAGGGCCACGGTCACTGATAGGGATGGCTTTTCTTTGCGTGAAGGAAATCAGAGCTTATTCCTATCATGTGATACAGACCACAGACTCGCAGAACTGTGATGAGGACAAGCAAACAGCAGCCCAGTCTGGTAGAATAACAAATAGGAAGAGAAGTGCTTTGCTTACTTCATCCGAGGCCAAGTACACACAGAGCAGGGCCACTTCTTCTGCAGACGCAAACCTTCCTGTCTTCTGTCTGTTTAGGAAAGTTTGCAGTGCCTGTGGCCAGAGACAGTTCCAGATGAGAGAGGTGGGCTGGCCTGCGTGTGCCCCTGCAACACCATCAAGAAATCTACAGAGGGACTAAGGCTATCAGCTAAGGTTGCTGTGACTTTTTCCACCCATGTTACCCAAACTAGTCATGATATACTGAATCTACAGATACTGTGATCAGTAAGAAAGCAACTAGAGTTGGTCGTGGTGGAATGACGCCTTTGATCCCTGCACTCGGGAGGCAGGGACAGATGGATCTCTGTGAGTCTGAGGCCAGCCTGGTCTATAGAGTGAGTTCCAGGGCAGCCAACGGCTACAAAGAGAAATTCTGTCTCAAAAAAGCAAAACAAAACGAAAATCCCCAAACAACAACAACAAAACAAACACAAATAGAAAGCCACTAGGAATGGCCATCGAGGTCAGTATGGGGAGCTAAGGAAGGAGGGACACAGTGACACCCAGTCCGGGATGCGCAAGACTCTTATCTCAGGACATCAACAAAGCATTAGCAGACATAGAACATCAGACTGACCATCTCAGCCACTTTCAGCGCACGGCTTGGGGGTAATAAATACACACCCAGTGCCATGAGGACCAGGCTCCATCTCTCTTTTCATTGTGCAAACTAAACATCTCCCTCTACTACGCAGTAACGTTCCACTATCCCGGCGTGGTAGCCCCTGCTGTACTTTCTGTCTCTAGGATCTATTTACTCTAGACAAGGAACAGGGCATTTCATGTTTTTCAAAAAATTTTTGGTCCAAAGGTTTGAACCCATTCCAGCTGCGATGTATCTATACCTCTTTGGGGTCGTCTCTGGCTTGTATTCTTTCTTGCAAAGATGGAGTGTCAACCGTTCCTAAACCAAAGAAGACAGTCACTGTGGTTACATCAATTGAAAAGGGAATTAAACCTTACACTTCTTTTACTGGTGATAAGCAAGCAGTGAGATCTTTGCCCTTCCATTTAAATGACACTGTGAACTCCACCTGCCTGGCCGCTAGGGGCGATAACTTTTGTAATGACATCAAAACGCTTTTTAAACACACACACACACACACACACACACACACAGTGATTCTCTCGGACACTAGGCTGGGATCCTGGAGAAGTTACCAGGCATTTTTTTTTTGGTGACACAGTCATGCTGCATTTACTTGCTGATTTTAGATGCGTGTTTTTACACGTCATCTCAAGTGATGCCAACAGGAGTCTTGAGAGAAGCAGAAAGCAGCAAATCTGAGTATCACCAGTTTGCCTTAACGATTTCAAACCATCCTTTTCTGCTGTGTTCCACGGGGATCCTGGGCTCAACTTCACGGTTGCCACAGACCTCGCCTATGTGCATGCTTGTGTGGAACCGTGGCCTTAGGGTCTCAGTCACATCCTGCTACACACAGCAGCTCCTTCACCTCGGCGGGGTCACCTCATCCGCAACAGTGTGAATCTCCACTTTACTGCAGAGGAGACATTCCACTTACCAATTTACAAAATCTTCCTCATTTTGCTTGTCAATAGCTTATGTAAAGTCCAAACTTCTACCAACTAATGTTCACCCCACGTTATCCATAACAGTCCTCAAAATCCTATAGCTGTAAGTGCTGAGCGGGTGTCATATTTTATATGGGGCCATCACTGATAACATGAAATGAAAACCAGTGCGAGCCCACGTCCTCAGATCAAAGCCACCCGGCTGGTGTCTGCCGTGCCACGTCTGCATGCGTGGCTGGAGCGTGGTGACTCACAACCGTGGGCACTGCCCGAGGTGCGCTCACTCCTCCTTTGCTTCTGGGATGGCCTCCGTGACTCACAGCTAGTTCCCTGTTCCAGAGTTTGGAAATTCTAGCTGGGGACACAAAAACATTTTTGAGATCTTTTGCCATTTTTCTCCTGGTAGCCAATGCCATCCAGATCAGCTGTAGTCAAGTCCGACTGTCGAGAGCGTCCTTTTTCTGTGACGCTTGCGCGGCTGCATTTCCACACCCCGAAAACGACACAGACCATCTTAATCTCTGCAGCTCAGACATGAAGGCTACTTAACAGTTTCTCCTGTGTACGTCTGTGGCTCCCAACCCAAGAGCCGAATAGAATCTTCTCCAGGACTTCCTAAATGACACACAGATCTCCCACCAATGCAGCCTCTCCATTCTGGCATGCCCATCCACGTGGACCATGCCAGCTCTGGCTGTAAACTATTGAAAACCTTAGTCCGGGACATACAACACTTCTTTTCGGAGTTTAAATTCCTTGACTTTAACACTTTTTTTTTTTAAAAATATTTATTTATTTATTAATTATGTATACAATATTTTGTCTGTGTGTATGCCCGCAGGCCAGAAGAGGACACCAGATCCCCTTACAGATGGTTGTGAGCCACCATGTGGTTGCTGGGAATTGAACTCAGGATCTCTGGAAGAATAGGTAATGCTCTTAACCGCTGAGCCATCTCTCCAGCCCTAACACTTTTTCTTATGGCAGTGATGGGAAGGGGCAGTTGTAGGAAAAAGACTTTTGTTGCCTTTGATTTTTGAATAACCTCCTCTTCTTGCCTGTTTTCCTTATCTGTGTCAGACACCAGGTGCTCCCCCACCTGCAGTGATGCAGTGCCAGCAGCCACGTTATCACCCCTCACCAATTTCACACCAGAAACCTTGGAAGGGTCCCCGCCATCACAGACTACTCTCTTGCTCTGTGTGTCGGCTCTGTTCTCTCTCGTCCCCAATAAATCTCCTCCATGAGCTCTGCTGCATGGTATGATCTCCATGGCGTTCCTTGGCTCTGATTCGCCAAGTTTATATGAAGCAGCAGCTTCTGCTTTGACAGATCTTCTGTTATCCAGTGCTTTTCAGTGTGCCGTGCACCAGTGTGAGTCTGGGAATCTCTTTTATTTCAAGCTCTGAGAAACCACCCGTGAATGGCAGCCTGAGATATCTTGTTTTCTGCGGGTACTGTTGGGTGCCCTGTGTTCATTTTGGGTTGGTGGAACCAGAAGGAAGTGCACCTGCAGTGACCTAGAAACAGTCTCTCACCCACTAAGAAAAGTGGTTTTGCTGGGTGTAGTGATGCACACTTCCAATCCCAGTAGTGAGGGGGTACAAGCAGGCTGATTCTGTGAGACAGAGACCAGCCTGCTTCACCCAGTGAGTTCCGGCAGCCAGGAAGCCAAACAAACAACACATGAAAAGCAGAGCAGTGTTCTTGCTTCTTTGCAGGAGGGTGGTCACACTACTTTCATAATGGGAGCAAATATTTTGGCTGTGAGAGTCATGTGATCTGTTGCAACCTCTCAACTCTGCCTTTGCAGGAAGAATGCATGAACCACCCAGGTGGGAGCGTCTCCAGCAAGCTTCACTTATAAAACAGGCCACAGCACCCTTGACCTAGGAGCCATTCTGGCGTTATTTGGGACTTTGGCAGATCCCTGTGTTCCATGAGGCTCCCCTTTCCCTCTCTCTGCTGTCTCAGGGGTGTGTTCTCCCCGATAAGGTCAGCATGGTCTGCTTTGAAACAACAGATTCTGGCAAGTTTCGTGTCTCAGCCACTTGAGTCTAAACTGCCCCTCATATGCTGGATTTTAAATCCTTCACATCGAGGTTTCTTCCCAAGTGACTTGGAACTTTGGTCCATCCAAAGCTGAACTGTTCCCTTCACTGGGCCAAACCTTCAGTTTAAATATCCCTCGATGATAAAAAGAAATTGAACACATGATAAACAAGCTGGTGAAAATGTTCCTTATGGTGCCTAATGCAAGGTAAGAAAGGCCAAGTTCACAGCCCTCCCCGCCCGGCTCACCTGGGCACACACAGTTGCATCTGATGCCCTGCTGGATGAAGTCGGCAGCCACAGACTTTGTGAGACCGATCACAGCTGCCTTGGTTGCGCTGTAGACACATCTGTTTTCCACTCCTGGATGGGAAGGGATTACAGACATAGTTTCCTTTAGAAAGGAACACAGCGACATCCCCACCCACCATGTTCACAGTCTTCCCATCAGCTCTCTTTTTATTATTTACTTATAATAAAAAAAATTGAAATCAGCCTTCCATTTAAAGAATGACTGGCCTCCGGCTTTCTCTTCTGTAATGGCGACAGACAGTTCTTGAACGCAGAAAATGCTACCATTATAGGCGGGACCTAACTCGGACTCTGGGGTTGAGATGCTGCATCTAGTCTGTTGCAGCCACCTGATGCTCACTGTCAGTACCGCTGCAGGACACCCTCGTTCCTCTCTAGATCTTCCTGAGTGAAGAAACAAAATGTCCATCTCCCTTGCATTCCGCTCACGTATATTTCACGCATTTATAAGAGGCAGAATGCTGTCTCCGCAGGGATTTCATCTTAAACTCTCAAATCCATCACTGCCGGGCTGTGACATTCTCTCCATTTACTCCTAGCCCTTGGGCTCAGCTTCCCTTCCAGGGCCCAGCTTCCCTGTCTGAGCTGCAATCTCAGACTCGTTCTCACAGGATCTCTCACATACGGGGTACTTTGCGTAACCTTGGCTCCACTGAAGAATATGGAATCTGGTGCGAATCTGTCAGTGCCCACCTGTAACCTAATCCTGCACAAGCAGAGGTGTGAAAATCAAGAAAGGGGAGGTCATGTCAGCTTCGGTGACCTAGTGAACTTGAGGCCAGAGGCTTCCTGACATGCCATCTATGAGAAGCACAAGACAGGATTTGTCCCTTGTGTACTGAGAATTTTTTTGGGGGGGGGGATTCAAGGGGCATCCAGTTCAGTTTGGACTCAATATAGCATTTTGGATCACTTCAGTGATGAATCTTTTCTTCTCCTAACTCAAGTTTCACTTCGATGCATACAGAAGGAATAAAGGGAAAGGCAAAGACAACAATTTTTTTATTCAATTTGATGAGCGGCACATCTATCCGTACAACAGCCCCGATGACATAAGCTTTAAGATCATTTTTTTTTTTAAAGCTGTTCTGAATTCTCATGTGAGTTTTAGGAATTTCTGTATGCTTAGTTCTAAAATACACAGCTCATGAAAGAGAGATAGATAGATAGATAGATAGATAGAGAGAGAGAGAGAGAGAGAGAGAGTGAGCTCAGTCCCGCGCGGCCCACTCCGAGAGGAAGTCATTAGTACCTTTGATGCTCGAGGCCACAGAAGACATGTTGATAATATTGCCAGATTTCTGAGCAAGCATCTGCCAAGACAAAGTAAACACATCTCTGCTCTGCAGGCAGAAGCACTAGCTCACTGACACATTGCATTGGCTCCTAGCCCACCAGACCCCTTTCTTTGTTTTTCATCTTCTGGAGACAGGCTCTTCTTACACTTACAGCCCAGACTGGCCTTGACTTCAAGGTCCTCATACTTCAGCCTTACAAGGGCTTGGATGACAGGAGTCTACTACCAGGTCAGGCTCAATTTAATTATCTTATTAGCTACTAACTTCAAGCTCCGTGAAACAGTCTTACGTAGGAACCCGTAATCTTTGCCCATGCATCAGTAGCACATCCAAACACCCACTGGCATTCCTAAAGCATGCTACTCTCTCCTATGGGCACATTATCAGCAAGACCAAGAATGAACCCTGAGCTAAAAGGCCAGGAGCAAACATCAGTGTGTTCCTGATGGGGGCAGACAATACTTTACATGAATTGAAAGACACAGGACATAGTCCTTGCCCATAGCAGACACTAGTCTGATTGCAGAGGCTGATACAACAAGAAGTCAGCAACAGGGGAGACCTGCAGAGAGCTGAGGAGAGGATGGGGTAGGAAGGGCCCCTCTGGGCTCAGGGGTTGAGGGCATTGCAGAGGAGCTACTGAGGAGGAGGAAGAGGGCTAAAACTATGTCAGTCATAGAAGGAGAATACAAAAACCAAGGTGCTTCAAGGAGGAGGTACTACAAGTGTAAGGTCTCCACAAGGGACCAGGAGGAGGGGCTGGGTCTGGCTGGAATGGAGGCCTGGGAGCAATAAGGGCGCAGAGTGGAACCTAGGCCACCCTGAAGAACTTGTTGACCCCTGAAGGCACGGCAGTCACGACGAAGGATCTAAGGTAGAAGAGAAGTGGAACCTTCAATTTGGGGATTACAGAGCTTACTCTGGTGCCAGGAGCAGAGCAGAGGAGGCAGAGGCAGTGGCTTAGGAGAGCGTGGGAAAAGCAGAGCTGCGGAAAGATCCAGAACACAGGTGGAGTGTGCTTGCTTGCTCAGCATCCCGGAGTATCACCACACCGATAGGGAGGATCAGCCACACTGAGAGGGAACACCAACACGGTAGGACGGCCACCCCCTCACTAAAACGTGGCAGCATCATGAGAAGGGTCTCTGGTACCTAGAAAGGACATTCCGGTGATTCACTTGGTACAACTTTCAAATGCAGATGGCAGGGCCCTGTCCCAGATCTGAAGTCATGTGCAATGAACAATGCTATTAGGAATTTTAATTTAGATGTTATTGACCATTACTCAGATACATGCTTCCAGGTAACAGATAAAGGAAGGTATGGGCACCTATGGATGTTTTGGGAGAAGAAAGAAGGAGTTGAGAGAACTTCTGGGGTTGGGTACCAGTTTCTCAGCGAAGCCACTTGTCAGATGGAGGTCACAGAAAAGAGTACAGGCAATGAAGAGGGAGCGTGGCACAGAGCTCGGACAGCTGCTGGGGACAGGACACAAGCTAGAGACCAGAATGTCTGGCATGTTTGTGACATAATGGAGATCAGTTCTTCCTGGTTCTTTCCAGAAACTGATCTTGACAGGCAATGTAAAGGACTTAGAGATTCTTTACCAGGGTTTAGAAGAAAGGAAAGGAGTTTTGTGACTGATGGGTCCAGAGCTGGGGTGGCCAAGATCATCTACTTCCTTGTATTTTTCTTACTCTCCATATTCATACTCGGGCTAACTATACCCAAGATCAAAGAGTACAGGACACGGGGCTGTAGGGGCTAAGAGCACACAGGTGGGGCTGAGGTGACCAACCACAGCAGGGACACAGCAGGCGGAAGCAACATTTCATTTATATGTCTCTTTCTTTTGAGGCATGGTTTCTCTGAGTAGCCCTGTCTGTCCCGGAACTTGCTTTGTAGACTAGGCTGGCCTCGAACTCACAAGATCCTCTGTTTTATAGTGCTGGGACTAGAGGTGTGTGCCGCAACGTTAGGCTGCAATATACCTTTGTACATGATAAAGGGGACCAAAAAGTCAGGCATAATGCCTCCTGTCTTGCACCCAGAAGGCAAGGAAGACAGATCTTTCTGAGTTCAAAGTTAGTCTGGTCTACATGGCAAGTTCTAATATAGTTAGGGACATGTAAGACCCCATGTCAAACAAAAAAGGGGGTGGGGTGAGGGTTAATAATCTTAAAGGATGAGGAATAGTCATGATGTCTAATAATGCAAAAAAAAAAAAGAAAAGAAAACCAAAACCAAAACACAACAACAACAAAAAACACAAACCCAAGTTTTCAAATCATTTCTTTTCTTATCTGGTTTATCATTTTTTCTTATCTAACATAACCTACTTATAATACTTAGATAATATGCACAGCTCAGTTTAGTATATAGACTGGCTGTGATACAGGCTGTTTCCAGTCTTCTGAAATTCAGGAGTTTCCAAGGCAAAACTCAGGCCTCGGTCACCCCAGTGATGCAAATCGTATACCGGCACTCCCACCACCCACTCAGTTCCGCCTACTGCTTCCATGGCTCTGCGCCCCGCCCCTTGTCCATTTCCAGACTTTCTCCCAGGGACAGCTCTATACCAGCTGTCACAGCACATGGCTCTCCTGGCTCCCCGGGAAGTGGCACTTTTCTGGTGGGGATGCCTGTGGGGTAATGGGCCTAGAACAACTGACTTCCAGGACACTCAAGCGGAGGATCCCTCTGTTTGAATCTAGTTAGTCCAAGTCATGCACAGCCCTCCTGTCCCCATTGCCAGAGCTCAGTTCAGCTTGTCATTTCTTGGCATTCTGAGTCACTAGATCCAATGTGTGGCCTCTCTCTGGACTGAGAAATCTGATTCATTTAGACAGTGTTTGCTAAATTCTTCTATGTGACCAACCCTGAGAAGACACAGCCAAGGGGAAAGTCAATAAAATGCAGACCCAAAGACCCAAATTTTGCCAGGATGGATCTTCTCTTCTAGTGAGCCTAGCATTCTGCAATTATTCTTCTTACACTATTTCTAACTTGGTCTCTGCCCCTTGGACTGGTTTTGCAAGCAAGGAATGTTTGCTGCCTATTTATCTGTGAACAAAAGTCTTCTACAGTTATTCCTATGTTTTGACCAAATGACCTTTCAGATCATGGGACTTACATCCTGGAAATTAAAAAAAAAAATTTTGTATATTTATTATGTATACAATATTCTGTCTGCGTGTTTGCCTGAAGGCCAGAAGAGGGTACCAGACCTCATTATAGATAGTTGTGAGCCCCCATGTGGTTGCTGGGATACAGGGACCTTTGGAAGAGCAGGCAGTGCTCTTAACTGCTGAGTTATCTCTCCAGCCCCACATTCTGGAAATTTTTAACCTGGTAAATGTGTGTCATCATTAATGATACAGTAAATCCCTAGACAACCAGGGCTGGAAGTGACGTGAAATGTGTCCTCCTCATCCTTAGAGGAACAAGACAGACAACGAGAAGGGACAAATGCCACCTCCAAGGACATGCAGCCTAGTGGCTCAGCGTGTGTTCAGGGATTCAAGTGCCAGTGTCCAAGACCAGGAGTCAAGACGGTCAGTGTCATCTTTCTCACTAAAACTAGGCTGTGCTGCGAAGCCCCCACCCGGGCTCAAAGCTCCCAAGTGTTGAGACGGCAGGTGTTTGCCCTGCGCCTGGGCAGAAGCCACTCTAGGCAAGTGGTGCTAAGTCCTTCTGATTCCACCTTCCAGTCACAGATACTGTTGTCTAAAAACAAAAATGCATTTTATCAACGTTAGGATCATGAGCTTATGATCTGGCATGGATGACTTAAAAAGCTCACTCATGTATGTGGATGCTCCAGAGGCCAGAAGAGGATCTTGAATGCTGCAGGTTGCAGTCACTACAGGGTACTGAACTCATGTCCTCTGGAAAAGCAGCAAGTGCCATTAACCTCTGAGTCATCCTCCTGCCTGGAAACATACTTTTGAGTCCAGTATTATGTGGACTGACCAAAGATCCTCTTAAAGCACTAATCAAGTACTCCAAAGCAGACCTTCAAGCTGGGCGTGGTGGCGCACGCCTTTATTCCCAGCACTTGGAGGGAGAGGCAGACGGGTTTCTATGAGTTCAAGGCCAGTTTGGTCCACATAGTGAGTTTCAGGACAGTCAGAGCTCTGTAGTTAGATAGTGTTTTGGGTAGGGGGACATGTATACCTTCCTTGGAGCTGAATGGGTTCTGTCTTCTGTCAAGCCTATTCACCGTCTGCTCCTATTGGTTTAAAAACTCATGTCTGGTCAGGGCCACACACTTATACCCTATAGAGCACCCGGAAGAGTTCTTCATTCTAAAAGGCACATAATGATTTGTTTGAAAAGGAGAATGTAGGTTGGACATGGTAGTGCACATCTTTAATCCCAGCACTGGGGAGACAGAGACAAGGAGATCTCTGTGAGTTCGAGGCTAGCCTCCTAGTCTATATCCACCAGCCAGGGTCACAGAGTGAGACTGTGTCTCAGACAAAAGAAAGGGGCTGGAGAGATGGCTCAGTAATTAAGAGCACTGGCTGCTGTGATGCCTGTAACTCCAGTCCCAGGGGATTTGATGCCTTCTTCCGGCCTCTGGGAATACACAGATATACATGCAGGTAAAACACATAAAATATTAAAATAAAATACTTTTTTAAAAAAGAAGAAACATAAGTCTTTGAGGTGGACAAAAGCCCTGGGGCATAAGCACCTTGAGAGTGTGTGCTCAGACCCGGAAGGGTGAGCTCCTGGGCTTCATAAACTGATCTATCACTTGCTTGTTGCGTGAGCCTGGGCTCCTTTCCTCCCGTCTCAGGTTTGCCCTGTGTGTAGTCAGCTGCTGTGACGAAACTTCACTGACCTCACGGGACTATGCTGCTGCTGCAGCAAGGAGCCAGTCCATTGCTTCCTTTCGTTCTCTCTGAGGATCCCAATCTGCCAGTGAGGTCAAAGGGGGCCCCACTGCTACCCTAGCTCCTTTGTCCACATGGTACCCATAACCACCCCAATTTATATCACCTGTCAACTGAGTTTCTCACCCCTCCATAAAGGGACTCTCTTCAAAAAAGAACTTTGTCAAGTTCCTTGGAGGGTCCGCCTCAGTGTAGCATGTGGTCTGGCTTGTTGAGATGCTTAGTCAATATTCCTCAAATGTAAGAACTGGAAAGTTAAACAGATTAATCTCCATAAACTGCCTTGCTATAAATGCTCCATCCACATTAGTCAACTGCTAGCTACGATCACACTCAAATACACATGCGTGCATATCGTCTGTGGACCCCGTGGGAAAGATGGCGCCCTGCTTCTGCTGTCCGTCCTCTTACTTTGGGAAGGAATGCCTTGATCATCAGGTACATGCTGCGGACGTTGAGGTTCATTGAGAAGTCCCAGTCTTTTTCCTCGCAATCCAGGATGGTCCCATGGTGGACAAAACTGAACGAGCAATTAAACAGAGGAGAAAAAAAAAAAACATGATTAAAGACTCACCAGGAAAGTACTTGCTGGCAACCCTGTGGACAACCCCTAGGGTTATAAGAACAAGACAACACACACACACACACACACACACACACACACACACACACACACTCACTCACACACAAATGTTAAAAATAAAGGAAGAAAGAAAAAAGAAATCATTTTTTTCGAAAGAACACGGCAGGAACTGCCAAATAAAAGAATCTCTATACCAAGGGCTTTGGAAACTCCAGAGCTTAGAAACAGAAAGGGAACAAGGACAGTGGGGCCATTTGATTCCTGTTTCCAGGGCAACAGTGCCCTCAGGTGGCACAGGTTAAAGTTCTACAGGGAAATCAAAACTGGCAAGACAATCTGTGTCTCCCTTGCCAGTGTAGCAAAGCAACATCGTAGCTGTTTGCGTCTGGGACAGTGCAGGAAGGAGAACAGACAGATCCTGAATCAACCTTGCTCCCTTGCAAGTCATTCTTCCTCAGGGGAGCTTCCTGAACATGGCATCCTTACAGACTCGGTCCTCTGGCCTGAGACTACGGTAGTCAAATATAAGATGCAGTCGGGAACAATTCCCATGTACTACAGGATTTCCGGTTCGTCACTCGGTAAGCTTCCTCTAGCAAGAACCACACACAGTCTCCTGCATCTTCCGCAATGCTGAAGCTGAATGGATGCTCACAATCCAATTATTATGTCTCCAGGAACAGCCTTATAGAAGGACAAGCGGACCATTTACAAAAGGAAACACCAGAAACCACTGCTTTGCTTAATTTACACACTTTGCACCAGTGCTCAAGTGCTCACTCCCTTCCTTAGCTTTACTGTGGGCCCCAAGTTTCACGTCAAACGACATAGTTGTCTCATTTACTGAACAGTCCAGTGACGTGTGACATCAAGCCTGACTTCCCGAGGAACATGCCGTGTTTTGTCAGTTAATCTTTCTTTCATACGATCAACAATCATTTAATAAGACCATAGAAAACGTTCTCGGAGAGAAATCAAAAGTTTGCAGTTACCCAGCGACATTGAAGAGCACATCGATTTTCTCGACTTCGGAGGCAAACTGATCAATTTGCTTTTTCTTCGTGACGTCAAGGACCCGAGTTTGGATACCTGAAGAATACAGTAAAAGACGGTATTTACAAAGAACTCATGAACTACGTAACCTTGAAGATTTGGCGTGCACGTGCTTGGCGGCGTGCAGTGTGAATAACGTAGCATTTCCATTTAGGCGGCGTAGGACTCATAGCCATCAAAGGCATTAGCCCTCTCAAGAGTGTCTTTAACTCGCATAGATCTCAGGCCAGAGACACGGCTCAGTGTCTAAAAGGGCTTATTGCTCTACCAGAGGACTGGAACTCACATCCCAGCCGTCACATCAGGTGACTCACAGATGCCTGTACCTCCAGCTCTGGGGGATCTTACGTCACTTTCTGGCCTCTGCGGCACTCACATATACACATGCTCACACACACAGATAAAAAGTAAAACAGAAAGCCGGGCGGTGGTGGCGCACGCCTTTAATCCCAGCACTCGGGAGGCAGAGGCAGGTGGATCTTTGTGAGTTCGAAGCCAGCCTCGTCTACAAGAGCTGGTTCCAGGACAGGCTCCAAAGCTACAGAGAAACCCTGTCTCGAAAAACCAAAAAAAAAAAAACAACAACAACAAAAAAACCAGATCCTTAGAAACCTCTCCTAAAGATGTACAAATCTTAAAGGGTCATCTTCCGCCCCTCAGTAATCCCTGTTAGAGTCCACAGCAGTTAAGGGCACTGTGGGCTTTTCAGACCACCTGGATTTGATTCTTAGCACCCCTGCTAACAACCTTCTGTGACTCCAGTTCAAGAGGTTCCATCGCCCTCTTTTGGCCTCCATGGGTACTGCACCCACTTGGGGCAGTACCCCATCCACACACATCAAATAAAAATTAAAAATTCGTAAAAAAAATAATAACCTCTGTGTTCTATAGTGGGTTCTACTTTTCACGAAATGTCTCTATCTTCCTTCCAGCAATATAAAACTAAAGAGAAAACGCAACAAACAGAAGACCAATGAATTCCCACCTGTCACGTAGCTTTTAACGGGGCTACGAACATTTTTGCAAGAACACGAGAGGATCATACTATATTCCTTGGCGCAAGGCTGCTCCAGAGCAGCCAGGGGCAGCAGCAAAGTCGTCATTAATAGTTAACCTGACAGCTGTTAGTTCTCACAGACCTTTGTAATCGGGAGCAAAATCCCCCTCAACAGGTAACCTTAAGTACGTCCCTTCAGATTTCCTCCTTCCGCTTCTGCCTGAGCGTACTATTTTCTGCAGATCACGGAACACAGACTCGTTATGAAGGAGTCAGACTCTAAGGGACAGGAGTCTGGAGCGGCTCCCAGTGTTTCCTTTCAATGCCAGAGTCTTTGTTTTCTGATACCGGGCTGATGCTGAACTGGCACGCAGGCTGCTCACCTGGGTAATTTTCCAGCTCCTGGAGTTTGGATTCGTTGATATCTGTGGCTATGACTTTGGCTCCTTCTCTTGCAAAAGCCTGCCAGAAATAAAATACAAATCAGTCCTTTGCTTACTGGAATAAATTGTCTCAAAAGTGGAAAACATTTTTCCTTTTTATTGTGTTCCCGATAAAATAGGTGGAATTTTCATCTACCGAGCCTGGTTTCCACTCACCCCAACATCATTTTTTTTATCGGTCATTAGGGCAGCACAATATACATTGTATTTTGCATCTGATTTTGTCTTTTTATTATCAAACAATACAGTATTTTTTAAAAACAACTCTAACTCAAGGCTGGAGAGATGGTTCAGGGTTTAAAAGCTGCCTACTCTTCCAGAGGATCTGGGTTTGGTTCCCAGCACCCATATGGCTAATAATTGTTTGTGTCTCCAACTCCAAGAGATCTGATAACCTCTTGTGACCTTCTCAGACACCAGATGTGCCCTCGGCATACGTGTATATACCTGTAGGCAAAGCACTCTACATAAAATAAATATAAATAAATAAATATTTAAAAAACCCACAGACACTAACTCAGAGCTGGGTGTGTTAACACTCGCCTTTGATCCCAGCACTTGAGAAGCAGAGGCACATGGGTAGAGGGATCTCCGTGAGTTTGAGGCCAACCTAGTTTGCAGAGTTCTAGGGCAGCCAGGACTACATAGTGAGATCCTGTTTCAACAAACAACCCTGCAATACCTGTTTCTAGAATAATGCTGCTATTCTGCGATCAGACCCTATCTATGTTTCTACTTCCCTATTTTTTTTATTTGTTTATTGTGAATGCGTTTGTTTGTGTGTGGGCATGAACCACAGTATGCATATAAGAATCATTTTCTCCTCCTCTTTTCAGGGGTCAAAGTTAGGTCTCAAGGCCTTTACCTGCGGAGCCAGCAGCAACTTCATAAATGCCAATCACAGACAGCGATGTATTCCTACTGCAGTGTTAGTCAGGTAGTGGGGTGATGAGGGAGAAATCGAGGTACCTCAGCAAAAAACAAAACAAAACAAAACAAAAACAAACAAACAAACAAAAAAACGAGCCGAGAATTTTATAACTCTCAGGTTCTTGAACTGACTGATGCAGTGGCAGAGAGCTATGTGCCCTGTAGAGTCAAGTCAGCGCCTCACGGTGCAGATAAACTGGGACAGAGAGTATGATTCCGGGTCAAAGGTCACGTGATGCTATGTAAGCACAAGGAATTCCTTCCTTCTGCTCAGTCAGGGATTTTTCTTTTGAACTTTAGATATGTGGGTTGGCAAGATGGTTCAGTGGATAGGGACTTGAAGAAATTCCCGCACCGTGGGGGCTCCCAGGGGGAGCTCCCTCACAGACCCTGGTTAGGCACAAACCACACCCAAACACCTGTTTTCACAGAGAGGTCCTTTATTAAGCAGGAAGAAAAGTTTAACTGTTGCCTTTTGACTCAGGCAGAAAAACAGCAGCAAATGACCTTGCAGATGTAATTTTTTTTTTCTCAAGACAGGGTTTCTCTCTGTAGCTTTGGAACCTGTCCTGGAACTCACTCTGTAGACCAGGCTGGCCTAGAACTCACAGAGATCCTCCTGCCTCTGCCTCCCGAGTGCTGGGATTAAAGGTGTGCGCCACCACCACCTGGCGCAGGTATAATTGCTAAGAAGAAAAACTAGGGGAGGCCTATGTCAGAATGGGCTAGGATGCAGTGTATGTTTTGATTGGGCGTGCTAATTAGGTGAACCAAGAGAGGCCTTTCATTGCCGGACCTTGACAGCCAGCCTCGGGAGGAGGAAGTGGCCAAACAAGGGCTAATAAGGGAATTAATTGGTGGCTAGCTTTAGGGAGGTAATCTATGGTTTACAAGGGAGAGGGAAGGCCTGCCAGCGCCCGTTGGCCAAACCCGGGCTTGCTAGAGCTTTTCAGTACTCACCACACAAACCTAGGGACCTGGGTTCAACCCTGGAGTCCATGGCAAAGAGAAAGGGTAAAACCAATCCCACAGGGTTGTCTTCTGATCTCCACACTCGCATCCTGGTGCATGTGCTACCACTGCTACACACACGCACTGCACACACACGCACTGCACACACACGCACTGCACACACACACACTGCACACACACGCACTGCACACACATATCACACACTGCACACACATATCACACACTGCACACACACACACTGCACACACATGCACTGCACACACACACTGCACACACACGCACTGCACACACACACACTGCACACACACGCATTGCACACACATATCACACACTGCACACGCACACACATACACTGCACATACATACACCATACATCACACAATACACCACACCCACCACACACATGCACACTGCACACACATGCACCATACACCACATCCACCACACACCCACCACACACCCACACACACCATATACCACACCCACACCTCACACACACACTGCACACACATACACCATACACATATCACATGCGTACACACACTGCACATACATACACCATACACCACACACATACACTACACCCACCACACACATGCTGCACATATATACACCACATACCGCACACATACACCACACCCACCACACAGCACACACATACTCCACACACACACACACCGCATACATACACACCATACACCACACAGCACACACATACTCCACACACACACACACACACACACACACACACCACATACATACACACCATACACCACACAGCACACACATAGAAGCACACATGCACACACCACGCATACACACACTAACAAACAGAAAAAGACAGAAGTACTAAAGGTAAGAACAGCAGTGAGAGGCCGCAAATATAGCTCAGTGACAGGCATGTACACTTAGCGTGTGCGCTTAGCCTGTGCACTTAGCCTGTGTGCTTAGTCTGCTTGAGAACCGGGGTTCAATTCCAAGCTGTAAAAAGAAAGAAAAATAAGGAGGAAGAGAAACCAGTAAATGAGAAGGAAATAACCTTGGCACCAGTCCGCACACGTCCAGACAGTGAATGAAAATAAGCCACAGTCGGCACGAACTTACTAAAGCCGAGGCCCGTCCAATCCCTTGAGCGGCGGCCGTCAGGACAATAACTTTGCCTTCCAGTCGGCCCATGGTGGTGAAAGACCCGGATAAATCCAGACCGCTCTAGCAGAAAGAGTAGAGTCAAAAATCTAGCAGGGAGAGAAGAACCAAAAATCTAGGTTAGCCGGTTCAATGACTCTGTTCCAGGAACTAACTCACCATAAAGTTAGATTATAATCTTGAGAATAATCTTGAGAAACGGGGAGTTACTCCCTTGTAATGATCACTGGTATTTTCGGAATTTTCCAATGATGCCCTCGCTACCCCCTTTGGGTTGTGGTTTCTTCCCTTAAATACTCCTCCCAGCTACTTGGGGGTCGAACTCCTCTACCCCTGCATGGGAAATGAGTTTTGGCCCCAGTGCACTGGTTCCTGTCCTGTCAATAAATCTCGTGTGATTGCAGCAAGGACGGTCTCTCGTGAGTTCCTGGTGGGTTACGTTATCCCGAGACTTGAGTGAGAGTCTTCCCACACCGGGGGTCTTTCAGTGGAACCTGCAGCTTAATCCAAAGATACAGCCTTGAATGACCCACGTGCAAATCAGCTGTGCAGGTGGTAGATGATATCTTGCTCCTTTAAGAACGTGGAGGAAGGGCCTCTGTCTACACTACCCCACCACTCACTGCTTCCCTTAGAAGCGTCCCTTGCTCAGCCGACTGAGGAGATGACTGGTGAGGGACACTGGGCTGGGGTCCAGTTTTTGCCCTTTTTCCATCCTCTAACGCTGAGACCAGAGAGCTCCCCTTTCCCTCGCTGTCCCCATGGCCTGGCCCACGTTTTAAGGCATCGTTGTTTCTGCCCGGCCTTGCTATTTGGGACTCTTTTTTGGTTTCTCCTTTGAAAACTATTAACCTGGCTCACACTGTTCTGAAAAGTGCCAGCCAGCAGTTTCCTGGAGCCCCAGTAATCAGCATTCTGGGATGAACATCCCTTGTCTTCTTAGACCCCCCCCCCTTTCCTTCCATACCCCCCACAGACCCTCAGAGGAGATGCTGATCCATCCATCACCTGACATTACTGACAAATCTCCCTATTATTTGATCACTGCTGGCAAAGGCACAAAGGAAAACACTTCAACCTCCTCTCTGTTCTTCCATCCAAGTCCTGTAGCTACTGCACAGAGGGTGGGCTCAGAAAATAAAAGCTTTCATTGTCTTGAGTCACCTGTTCCTTCCTCGGCAGACTCCTGCTGAGTCACAGAGGCAGACCCCTGGGGTTTGTCCTTGTCCCTTGAAAAGATTTCACAGTAGTGAGTCTTAAGATTCACTGACCAGAAGGACTGGAAAATCAAATCACAGCCCATACCTTCTTTTTGTACAAGTCTGTCTCCATTCTGAAGGCAGGAACCACTATGCTGTGTTGTTAAAAATAAATGAGCTTCTGTCTGGAACCTGACCTGCCCCAACTCACGACCCTGACTTGTTTTTTGGAAATATCCAAACCCTCCCAATATTTATGGGGACCACATGGGGACCATAAGGCGACAGCTGTGGGATTTTCTAGATTATTCCGTACTTACTGTTTTGTTGTCTTCTGTAAACCTGCCTTGCAAGTTCTCGTGATTTTACTCCTTAAAAGGGTCCTAAGAAACAGACTCAGGGCTGTGTTCCCTTTAACCAGGCTTAGGAGGCAGCCACTGGCCTGCTCTCAGAGCAACACCTTGGATTTCTAGTAGGAGAGGCTCAGAGCACTTTCAGGAATTTCAAACATTTTCACGAGCCAAAGTTTACTCAGGACAGGTACTGGAAAAAGTTCTCTTTCTTGAGCTATTTTCAAATACCAACACATACAGGAGGGTTTCCAACTCCCTTAAGGAGCTATCCCATTCTATAAGGCGATATGGAGAGCGAGGCCACACGAGTTCCACGTGTCATTCCCCCAGAGTTTTGTTATAAACCATTAGAAAAATCTTACTTTAGAACAGCGAGTCCACACGGCCCTCCAGATTCCTTCAGAAGACAGACTTCAGATCTTTGTGCAGGAGAAGTCACATGCTCCTTAAATGCATGCTGGGAGGTGGAGTTCAGGCTCCTCCGAAAGCCTTTGCGAATTCAAGTTTTGTGAGCTTTTTAGCCGAGGCAACCAGCTGCGTACTTTATATGTGTCCATGCTGCCATCTACTGGACAGAGCCCAGAACTACTAATGGCAAACAGGAAGCCGTGTCTGTTGTTCGCATGTCTTACTGAGCCAGAGAGCCTGAATGTCCAGGAAAAGGCAGACAGAAGACGGTAGGACAACATGCCAGGAACCCAAGTGTCCTAAACCCTTAACCTAGATTGTTTTGAGTGAGGGAAAGAGAACATCCCCGTGGCTAAGGTCTAGTTCTGGCATTAACCTGTCGTGTGCAGTCAGGTCTGGCACAAATACACCTTCAGCTGCAGAACGCTGGCATCCTGGCTACACTGGGCCTGGGTATGGTAGAGAGCACCAGCATGAATGGAAGTCTTGAAAGGAATGAGCGGAACAGCAGCGAAGCAAGTTGGCTGAAACTGACAGCTACGAAACCCGAAAGGGAAAGACAAGATCTGGTGGGCTCTCTTGGCCAGGCCGGAGACTGGTGGGTTAATCTGATTGTTGTGATTAGGCAGAGTGATTATGTAGGTCATGTGTGGATGTCCTACATAAACTGGGGTACTCGGTGCATGTTGCGCACACTTTGCTATGGCCTCTTGCACTGTGAAGGCTACAAAAACAAAGCTATCAAGTTCCTCGCCTCCTTTGTTACCAGGGCTGGTCCGCCACACAGATCCGGTCTTGGAGGTGCAGGCTGCACTTCCTGAGGGTTCCTTTCTTGAAGGAGAGGTGATGTCTCTCAGAAAGTTGTGGCTTCTGCTCCTCTCTCTGAGCAGCAGCAGCTGTGGTGTGGGTTTGAGAGTCGGATGCACACGGGCAGGACAGAGCAGAGCCAGACAAGGAGCTGGTGCTTCAAGGCCGACTCGGGGTGACTCCTCTGCACTCTGTGGCTGCAGAAACTTCCGATCATTGCTTCTCAGTGTTTGTTTGCTGCTGGTATTACCCAGGTTAGGAATAATGAAAAGAAACAAACAAAAAGGCCGGGCGGTGGTGGCGCACCCTTTTAATCCCAGCACTCAGGAGGCAGGAGCAGGTGGATCTGTGTGTGTTCGAGGCCAGCCTGGTCTACAAGAGCTAGTTTCCAGGACAGACTCCAAAGCTACAGAGAAACCCTGTCTTGAAAAACCAAAACAAAACAAAGGAAACAAACAAACAAAAACCAGGGCTGGGTATCTTGCTCAGTGCTGATCTCACTTGGCAACAGGCCCTGGCTTTGGTCTCTAGTTCCACATAAAGTCCCAGCATGGTGGGTGGCACACTGCCTGGGAACTGAGCACAAGGAAGACATGTAGGAGGAGCACAAAGGTTGCCTAGTAACTTCAACGCCAGCCTGAACTACAGAAGATCCTTATTCAAAACAGGAACCAACCTCCCTCAAACGGAAAAAAAAATATATAAATAAAAAGCCCAATTTAAAAATAAAAAGACTACGGCAAGTCCTGTGTCTCCCCTCAGTAGTTCAGCAAACCAAACCTGTAAAGTGGCAGACTCGCCGGTGTTCCTATATGGTAAAGGAGAAGAAAACAGTAATTATACCAAAGATGTGGAGAGGAGGGGGCGTGGCGTGCAAGCGCAGAAGCCAAGTGTTTTGCCACACCTGCTGGATAAATGTCGGCTCTTTACAGAGGACACGCAGAGAAACTGAAGTGGAGTTGTCATTTCAGTTCTGCCTGGGCTGCGTAAGGCTCCTGCTGGTTGGCATTGCAGGACGCTCCTGAGTCCAGTCGTGAGCTCACATCTGGCTGTGCTCCTTGCTTTAATAAACATGACTTCTCCTAAATCTTGCAGGGTTTTGAGAGACATTGTTTTTATGAATGTGAGAGTGCTGTTAACGACTTCTGCATCTCTTGTTTCATTTTATTAAAGATTTAAGTCCAAGGCGCATGTCTGGAGTCCCTGTACCTGGGACGCCATGGTAGGAGATTACAAGGACAAACTGGGCTGCACGGCAAGGCCTACTCTCAAAGGAAGAAAAGGTTCCCATACAGAAGTATGTCTTTTCAGTCCCCAGAACAGCAGGACAAAGGACACTAGCCCACTCCGAGCTTGTGGCTCTGGCAGGCCTTGCCCTTCTCACCAGTTCTATGTTAACTTACATTCCTGAAGCTAGCCCCCAAGGTTCATTCCCTTATTGGCCAATCCCTCCTTCTGAGGCTGATTATCAAGGTCCAGCTATCAAAGAATTACAATGCAGCAAAAGACCCCCTGGGCGCACCTACTTAGCATGCCCCATTAATATTAAACACCTCATTCTAACACAGGATTTTACCTTTATATATAGCCATTTGCCTATGTGCCATAGCTGTTTCCTCTCTATCCAGAGACAATCTTTTGTCCTCTGGAACAAATACCCTCTCAGAGGAGTAGCGTTTAAGCTGAAAAGACAACACTCAGACAAACCAAGCAGCAAAGAAGACGTGAAGACCAGATCAGGTACCTGGAAGAAGCAAAACCTAGCCAAGCTGCTGGAAGAGTTTAGACCAATCACTTGGAAGAGACACTGTCCAGCCTGCTGAGTGTCTGCAGGCTTTGCAATGTGCTCCAGGATCCAGCTTTGTGAGTTGTCACTCATGCTGGGGTGAGCTTTGGTGATGCAGCTGTCTTTGAGTCATCTCTGCTCCTGAAGTAACCCCTCTTCCATATCCTTGTAAGTCACCCCAATAAAATGCATGGTTCACCATGTTGGACTTTTGGTGGTATCTGTATTTTGTTCTGTCAGGAGCTCCCCATCTGGGGTGAGCAGACGTGGTATCATGCCTCCTCGGGAAACGTTTGGTGCACCGCATAATTGGCACCCAAACAGGGCCACAGCAGAACCAAAGATGAGCTGGGGAGGAGTAAGTGCGTGGTCCTGACGACGGGGTAGCAAGGCTGCACTGAGGCTCCGAAGGGAGCATGGATGAGCAGGGAGCATCCGTGGAGGACGTTCCTGTGTTTGTTCTTTCCTCTAAGGCATGCATCGATGCGCCTTTGTGCTCTGGCAGCCGTTGTATGGTTCTTGCTATGGACAGGGAGACGTGCAACTAAGGATGAAGCACTAGGATTAGGAGTGTCCGTGGGAGGAATCCCAGGGTGGTGGTCTTTGTCTGTGTGGTATGGGGTGGCTTGTCTGCTTGCTGAGTGGGGTCCACCAGACAAAAACAGAGGTGCCCTGAGCAGCGAAAGGTTTGCAGTGGTTCTCAACCTCCCTAGTGCTGTGAACGTTTAATACAGTTCCTCACACTGCGGTGACCCCCAACCATAACATTATTTCATTGTTTCTTCATAAATGTAATGGTGCTACTGTTAGGAACTGTAATGCAAATATGTATGCAGGATATCTGATGTATGTCCCCAAAGAGTTGTAACCCACAGGTTGGGAACGGCTGGTTTAGAGGACCTTTTGCAGCCTTTAAGATTAGTGCACAAGGGTCGAGATTGTCATCAAGCAGTGGCAGAGGTGGCCTGCTTTCAGTTCTATGTAGTTGGAAGTGCATAAAGGAGCAAGTACCGCAAGAAAGGGAGACATGGCTAGCTAGCATCCTCTCTGTTAGCCTCTGATTTGAAAAGCACACTAGATGAAGGGGAGGGTGAGCTGGAGGGATTGACTTGTTGCTTAATGCTTGGGGACCAGAAGGAAAAGAGAGGACAAGTGAGATTAATGCTCAAAAGTCCTTCATGAGATGCAAGAACCCATGGGAAGATTCAGAGACTGAGGAGGAGAATGTGGTAAAAGCAGGAGATGCTGAGGGTCTGAAAAAAATGAAAGTCTGTAATCCAGCATGCAGACGGGGCATTGGCAATGGTCCAGTACAGGAAACAGTACAAGATGGGGAAACAACCAGAACTTGAACTGCTGAAATTAGGAAAGACTTTTTTTTAAAAGATCTTTTCTTTTAAAAATAATTTATTATTGGGGCTGAAGAGATGACTCAGAGGTTAAGAGCACTGACTGCTCTTCCAGAGGACCAGAGTTCAATTACTAGCATCCACATGGTGGCACACAGCTGTCTGTAACTCCAGTTCCAGGAGACCTAACACCCTCACACAGACATAGACACAGACAAAACACCAATGTACATAAAATTAAAAATGATTTATTATTATTACATTCCTACTGCAGTTTCCCCTCCTTTCTCTCCTCCCAGTTACTGCCCATACCTACATCCACCCCTCTGTTTCTCTTCAGAAAAGGTCTGGCCTCCCATGGATATCAACCAAACATGGCATATCAAGTTGCAGCAAGACTAGGTACCTCCCCTTGTATTAAGGCTGGACAAGGCAACTTAGTTTGAGGAATAGGGTCCCAAAAGATGGCAGTTTGGACTCCAGGCAAAGACCAAGCCACAGAATGGTAACATATAGCAGAGGGCCTAGGTCAGTCCTGTGCAAGATTCCTGGTTACTGGTCTCTGTGTTCTCCTGAGCTCAGGTAAGTTAATTTTGTGTTGTCTTGTGATGTCCTTGACCCCTCTGGCTCCTACTTTCCTCCCCTCTCTTCTACAGGATTCTTTGAGCCCCACCTAATGTTTGGCTGTGGGTCTCTACATCTGTTTCTCTCAGTTGCTGGATGAAGCCTCTCTGATGACAGTTGGCCTAGGCACCAGTCTATGAGTATAGCAGAATATCATTACATTGACTTTTAATTTTTTTTTTCAAGGGTTTCTCTGTAGCTTTGGAGCCTGTACTGGAACTAGCTCTTGTAGACCAGGCTGGCCTCAAACTCACAGAGATCCACCTGCCTCTGCCTCTCGAGTGCTGTGATTAAAGGCATGTGCCACCACTGCCCAGCTACGTGATTGGTTCTATACTAGGTCTCTGGGCTATGCATCCTCTGTGCCTTTGAGTTCCAGGTACTGTCATGGGTGGGCTTAACCTTGGGGCACGTGTCTTAGGCTAGACCAGCCATTGGTTGGCTATTCCCACATTTTCTACACCACCTTTCCACCAGCACATCTTGTATTTAGGGTAAATTGTAGGGTGAAGGTTATGTGGCTGGGCCAAT